TGTCCTTTCTAGTAGATCCTTATCTTTTTGGATGATTTTTACATCTCCCCTCCGCCACACATCGTCACAAAAAGCCAGACCCCCAACCTAAAATGGCGCCACACCTCAGCCTACAACACCCCCCCCCCCTCCCCTAAAATTGCAGTTGAGTTTTTTCTTAAAATAGGATACTTTCCCAAAATCTTGTCTGAACTCTGTCAACATAGAGTATTTTAATCAATTCCTATTACAATTTTTTAAAACAGTTTTCTAAAACGCGAAATTAATTTTCTAACATTGTTTTTTAATAATGCAAAAGTGTGACGTCACACCATCTGAACCGCCCCCCCCCCCCCCCCCTCCCTCATCACACAGTTACAAGTTTACCGACCCCCCTACGAGTGTGACGTCCTTTATGGACGACCCCCCTTAAACATTGTTAAGATAGTAAGACGATATTTTTTTAAACAATAAGTACTAAAAGCAATGTATTTTTTTCATTTAGTTGATTCCTTATTAAGTCCACCCCTCCCCCAGCGACAACAACTATTGGTTTAATGATCGGATCAGTAACTCCATTTACCTACACCTGTACATCCGTGGTCAACCCTCAGGTTTGATGAAAAACATCAGTAAACACAGCTTCGTCCTATCTCATCTTATTGGATTTAAAGGGCTAAATTCTAGAAATCATTACTTAATTTTAATGAAGAACTTGAAATAGACTGAAAATTAGATATTCTTGCATTGTCATTAAAATTGACAATCAGGAAAATACGAAAAAAGTCCTTGCATTGTAAAGAGTTGACCACAGACAGACAATGAAACCTTAAAAAAAAACTTGTAATAAAATATTTCGCTGAAACACATCCATTCACCAAAACTCTAATCACAGGAAGAACGGTGACCAATAAGTTAAACAGGATAACCCGAAAAAAAAATATGTTTGCTCGTCATTTTCAGTTTTGTCGATGATAAACTTTACAAACTTCGCGCATTTTTTTTAGCAACAAAATCTTAAGAATTAATACCATTCTAGAAATGAGAGTGACCAAAGTAACCAAATTAGCAAACAAAACGGTTTTCATACTATGATAACAGAAGCACATATGTATTTTAACGGTACAGGTATGTAGTGATCAATAATCCTTAAACTCCCCCCCCCCCCCCCCGGCATTAAAAAAACTTCATATAAGTTATTTTTCTGTGTACTAAGAGCATTATTTAGCAGTAGTGGAAGTCTTCGTGTAAGGTTCAAACCTGCAGTCAGGGAGGCGATCTACGGAAAAATTCCTCAAGAATCTGTTAGATGTAGAGGGTAGGGGGGCCAGGTGGAGAGGGGGGGGGGGGGGGGGAGGAGGGAGAGAGAGAGAAGGATGCCAAGAGCGTGGGAAACTCACGGCCAAGAAAACCGGTGTGTTACTTCAACAGTTTCACCCGCTGCTTGCCCGGTAAACGAACAGCGTTTTAATTATACACTCTCGGAACTTAGAACTACCAGCTTACAAACAGTACATCAACCTTTCTCACATTTTTTTTTAAACACAAGGACGCGGATGGCCGCTGGTCAGGATAGGGTTAAGGCTGATTTTGTTTTACGCAAAAATAAAGTAATAAAATAAAAGCATATTATTTTCCATAATTAATTAAACATATTTTTCAGAAATCAATAATCACATTCGTTTTAAAAAAAATAATCATTTCTTTCTAATTAGCTTGTGTGTTTGAGGGCGAGATGTCAAAATTTGTATAGTCCATACGACGAAACACACCGTGGGTTGGCATTTTTAACATAATTGAATATCACGCTAAGGTGAGTCTATATAGACGGGGTGGGGAGGGTGGGGTAGTAGGAGGGTCGTCAAAAGATCGAAACTGAATTCCCCAAGGGGCCTCGACAAGGAATGTTGAGGATGGCTGCTGTAAGGCTGCCATACCTGGGCTCAAGATGTAAACTAACTACTAGCAGTCAGGAGAGTGAGAGAGAGAAAAAACTGGAGTTGGTGGGACTGGCGAGTAGTACCGGCAGGAAGGTTAGGGTAGTCACCTTGTTCGTTGTGTGACTTCAAGCATTTGAGGAACGTTTAAACATGTTTGTCTTTCTACCAGCTGTATCAAGTGTATACATACACCATTACGTGTTGGTCGGATGGTTATGAAGCCGCTATACAGAGAGCAAATAATCGTCTGTTGTACATAGTTAATACAACCAATGATAGTCTGTTGTACATAGTTAATACAGCAAATGATAGTCTGTTGTACATAGTTAATACAGCCAATGATAGTCTGCTGTACATAGTTAATACAGCAAATGATAGTCTGTTGTACATAGTTAATACAGCCAATGATAGTCTGCTGTACATAGTTAATACAGCAAATGATAGTCTGTTGTACATAGTTAATACAGCCAATGATAGTCTGTTGCACATAGTTAATACAGCCAATGATAGTCTATTGTACATAGTTAATACAGCAAATGATAGTCTGTTGTACAATCTTTATACTCCAAACAAGCTTCGTGCAAATGTATACAGAATAGATTTGCAAAATCTTAAGTGGATTAAAAAATTTTTTACGTTTGATTAAACAGGACGAATAGAATAAGCCAAAAATCTTAAAGCAAGTAACAATGCCTTTGCGTAATCACGTGGTTAATTCAGAAGTTGAAAAAAACTATTTGTTTAGTTGAATGCATTATATAGATTTAATAACCAAAGATCCTAATTTGTTATATTTTCCTGGCCATTTATCACACTTATAATTATAAGAAACATTTAATAAAATAAATTGTTTTGTTTCTAGTTTAATAAATTAAAACAGTGATTAAATAACAATTTGTCATTTTTTAAATTAGGTTATCTCCCCTACACATTGTCCCTTAGAGTTTAAGAGGCTAACTGAAATTATTTCCCTTTTATTATATATATTTTTAGGAGGGGGAAATGAAACTACCCAATTGATATTTATTTTATTAGCAAAGCAATACAAACTAATTTTACTATTTTTTTAAAAATGTTAACACATAATTTTTCAACAGTACTGACATGTGTACACTTCATCAGACAATATTTACACAAAGAGTGAAAGACATTCCAGTTTTCCTGTACCAGTTTTGGTTTATTAAAATTTTAATCAGTGGACAAACAGCAAAGGAGGATTAAGACTGTCAGTGGTTACCATATGAAGTTGGTTAATTTAATTAAATTGATTAAACATGAAAAACCTGAGAGCACTCTTTTAGAGGAGTTACAGTAATTAAAGCCCTCTTCTATAAATGTCAACATTTGCTTTCAACAAACAAGGACACTATAACATGATTTGATAATGCAGAAAAAAAGATTTAAATAAGAATAATTTATTTGTATCTTTAATTCAAAATAATTTAATGTAAATATTAAAACAGACTTAATGGGAACCATGTTTACAAAGTTAGATTTTGTATTAAATAAACCGGGAGTGATCTCCCCTTAACTTTCTCGAATATTCTTATATAAAATAACGGGATGGGAACTCGGGCTATAGGCATGATCTTTAAATACTTAAAGTTTTAAAAATAGAATAAAATCTCGTAGACAAAAGATTGCACACCAAGTGAACGCCAAATAAAACGTGCATAATAGTGCGCAATACTATTAGTACTTTAAAAATTTACATTAGTTTTTTGAGAAATCGGAAGTAGCGTAAATTAGTACTTCCGATAAATGGAAATTACTCAAAATTTGACAGAAGGTAGAGAATTAGATCTTATACTTGCATGTGCAATTTCATTTATCTATCTGAAATAGTACTCAAGTTATAGGCTTTTGAAAAATTCAAAGTAGAAAAAGTACCACTTCCGGTTATCGGAAATCGCTCAAAAGTTGATACGGATCTACGATTTTGATAAAATACTTATATATGAAATTTCATCAACCTAGCTGTAACGGTACTCAAGTTATCGTGTTTACACACGGACACACACACACACAGACAGACACACAGACATACGGACAGAATTTACTCAAGTTATCGTGTTTACACACGGACACACACACACACAGACAGACACACAGACATACGGACAGAATTGCAAAGCCCAGTTTTTCAGACTGGATTACGCATAAAACCTCTTAATTTTGATAAATCTGGATTGATAATTTTTGCCCGATTAAAATAAGTCCTCTATACTTCGGATGTGATGAAGGACTGAGGTGTAATACGGTGAAAATTGTTAAAATTTCAAGTGATTTTTGTGCACGATTACAATACTTTCTCTATACTTCGTATATACGAGAAAGTAAAAATACATCAGCTCACTAAGTCATAAAAACTATTGTTTATGTAAGAAGTTGTGTAAAAAAATGGTGAGGTATGTCTGTGTAAAAGGGTGAGTTATGTCTGTGTAAAAGGGTGAGGTATGTCTGTCTAAAATGGTGAGTTATGTCTGTGTAAAAGGGTGAGGTATGTCTGTCTAAAATGGTGAGTTATGTCTGTGTAAAAGGGTGAGGTATGTCTGTCTAAAATGGTGAGTTATGTCTGTGTAAAAGGGTGAGGTATGTCTGCCTAAAATGGTGAGGTATGCCTGTGTAAAAGGGTGTCTAGGGCATTATTACTTTTTTCTTGTCAATTACCACTCCCCTCTAGAAAAAAGCTATCATTCAAGTTACTGGCAAAGTAACCATGTTATAGAATGCCTTAAATTGACATCCAAATGAAAAATAAATACGCTTTTGTACTTTGCCCAGACTTTTAATAGAAACCGCTTAATTTACTTATTCCATCCTGAATACTAACCCTAAAAATATCCCACTGTTAACCCTTTCCTTAACCTTAATCCAAAAATCAACCCCAGCTATAACCCTATTCCTCCACACCCTAACCCAAACATCACCTTAAGGTTAGTGTTAAGCTCCTTATGTAATCAACAGGGGGGTAATTGTTCTGGGGTACTGACGGGGTGGGGGATAAATCAACAGGGAGATGGGTGGGTAATGTCATGCTCCCCTAAGAAGGTGAGGTATGCAATGTTAAAAAGTACTCACTGTTTCTTCGCTCTTTTCCTCCTCATCTTCTTTGTTCTCTTTACCCTTATCACCATCCTATTCAAAAAAAAAAATTTACTTACATAAGATTTGGGAAAACAAGAATATGCTTATGTACATATCGTAATGTTTTGAAATAAAGATTGATAACTTAGGTGTGTTTTGTGAAAACTTGTGTAAGGAAGTACAATCTATTTAATAATTGTCATGAAGACAATACTGAATATTTGACAAAAAACATTTTTGTCTGTCTATCTAGAAGCAACAATTAACAATTCATAAAACAACAGAAGACAAGCCCATCTGGTTAAATGAACCCAGATATTAAGACCTGTATTGTTCAGTTAAAATATATAATCTTCAAAATATTGACTTTCACAAAGATAACAATCTAGATTAGTTGATTTTCATAAAGGTTGAAAAGTAACTTTTTAATAAGAAAATGCATATAGATTTATAATTTAATAAGGTAAATTTGTAATTATTTATAAATAAATCTTTACAAGGATCCATCACAAGTTCTACGTCAACTTGTGTAAACATGCAAAATTTGCTTTCAAGCCCCATGGCCCTAAGGGCAGATAAAGTAGAGCTATATTTCTTTTACCTTGGCGTAAGTAAAGATTGTGGCCAAAACTATGCCAAACTAATTTTACTTGCCCCACAGTTACTTGTCAAAGCTGGGCTGACTTAAGATCATACAACTCTAAATTAAAATTTTTTGGGTAAGTAATGAATCTTTTTTTTTTACTTAACTACTGGACTCAAATTGTGCTGTGCTGTTATAAGTAAACTATCCCATTGTCTATCCAATTGATATAAAGAAGAAATTTAAGTCTCACCTCATTATCATATTTTATACCAGTTGATCGACGCTCTCTTCGTTGTCTTTTAGCACGCAAAGATGCTGGTTCTTTCTTTTCCTCTTTCTTGTCTTGGGAGTCTGCAAAAAAAAATATGTAATAATCAATATTGTGCACACAACATTTAAATCTATATAATAACATAGTTGAACTCTTACAATTTAAAATGAGATAGCTGCTTGTTTAAAAGAACTGGCAAGTTATTCTTGTCAGCAATTTTTTGAGTAGATAAAGGATAATGCTATGCAGCCTGCTTATTTTAAAAGGAGTTATAAGCAAGCAGTTTTGTTACTCAGAAAATTTCTTAAAACATAAGAATTAAGTTAGAAGAATAATATAAAGCATCTTGGAATTATTGCTACATTTTCATTCATATGATGCAACTGTGAAGTCATTTTTACTTCTAAAAAGTAAAAACGAAGAGTCACAAATTTTTTCTTACTATCTTCTTTTTTAGAGTCATCATCTGTATTTGTTGGTAATGAATCTATTTCCCCATTTCGTAGGCGACTGCTTCGAACAGAAGAAGTGCGCGATAAATTTTGACTAGAAGACGTTGAGTAACCAGACTCCGAAGACAAGACAGCACTGTTTCTTTGACTGCGAGGGATATAATCTGGTGAAGAATAAAAATTAACAGTATTTATAGGGCATTCAAAATCATTGACTGCGAGGGATATAATCTGGTGAAGAATAAAAATTGAAAGTATTTATAGAGTACTCAAAATCTTTGACTGAGAGGTATGTAATATTATGAATAATCAAAATTAACAGTACAGAGTACTCAAAATCTTTGACTGCAAAATATGGTCCAGAATCAAAATTAAAAGTATTTTTATAGTACTCAAAGCAAATGACACAGATGGTTAAGTTCTAAAAGCAACAGAGGAGGAACTCACTAGAGGTTACATCTGAAGTTGTGCCACCCGATAAAGTAGAAAGATCTTTTTCCTCCCTCAACCTTCTATAACTTCCTCTAGAAGTAATAGGAGCAGCATCTGTGCTCTAAAAGAATGTACGAATGCAATGAGTTTGATTTAGTTCATACATACACACAAAGAGAAATGTACACACGTTAAAATATGACTTAACATACACACTAAACATTTACAATACAATAAAGGATTTAATATTTTCACTCATAATAAAATAAATTGCAAAACTATTTTCTGGAGATAATGAAGAATAATTTTAATAACGCTATTAAAATTTATAATTTAAAACATACATCATTTTCTATGTGTCGCCGCCTGTAACCTGAAAGAACAGAAGTATCTTCCTTGCTGGGGTTGTCCACGGCAGAGGAAGATATGGTGGTGGTTGTGGTGGCTGTAGGGATGGTGCTGGGGGTCACACCGTTACCACCAGACACACTGGTTTCTTTGGTAAGGACAGAGCTCTTTGCAGGCTCATTTGATCGAAGTACCTCCTCAGCTTTCTCTATATCCTCAAGGCTGACTCCCTGCAGAGAATAAAAAACACATTTAAAGGTTTTAAACATTTTCAGGGTGGTAGAATTATGACATAAAAATTATGTAATGTAATTTCAGCAGCACGAAAAGAGGTCTGTTTTGAATGCAAATGTAGCAAACGAAACAACGTAATGAGAACTTGTTAAAATAATTTTATAAAATATTTCTTTATTTGGTAATGTTGACAACCCTCTAGTCCTAAAGTCAGTGTACTTTTTTTTGCTTTACACAAGAATGCTTATTTCTGAAACTGTTCTGCTCTGGCATAGCATGTATCTGTGTTGACCCCACCTACAATATGCCTTGGTACCCCATCTCATGACCACCACTCTGACACCAATCAAAACCCCTACACAACTGTACCTGTGTCAGTACCTGTGTTGACCCCACCAACAATACACCTTGGTTACCCCATCCCATGACCACCAGACTGATACCAAACAAATCCCCTACACCATACCTGTGTCAGTACCTGTGTTGACCCCACCAACAATACACCTTGGTTAACCCATCCTATGACCACCAGACTGACAACCAAATCCCCTATACTAGTGTATCTAACAGGTTAGTGTACATACCTGTGTTGACCGACGAGTCTGTCTTGCATGTTTAGCTCGAGCTTTACGCTGTGTTTCTGTCTCTTCATCTCTCTTAGGTGGCTCATAAGACCTTTTTCGAAGCAAGAGATAAAACAAAACTTCAGTCAAATCTTGACCTCCTTATTCAATGATCTACACTACACAAATGCTATTAAACCAAGCAACAGTACTACTATTAGATCCATGAAGATGTACTACAAAAAGGGAATGAGGAGTTCATCACACAGTTCAGGCCTACAACATGCAAACAGCAATTTGGTGAAATTGTTGCCTTTCTTTACATTTTACAAAATTATGCATAAAAAGTTACATTGTAATTTACAGCATTTTATTTTTCTATTTCAATTTATGAATGAAGATTTAATCAGTGGGATGGGTTGTAAATGCAAACAACAAAATTTTGTTGGAAAACCTATTCTCTTTCATTTCTACTAAATTTTAAGAAATGTTTCTTATGTCATTTTTTAATATGAAAAGGAATGGAAATAACATAAATGTCCCCTTGCATACAAAAGTCAAAAATAAGAAAAGAGAAAAAAAAACTTACGGTCCAAGACATGTGGTATAGAAATAATGAGCAAGAGTACACACCTTCTTAATACTGCATTGGTAGTAGAGGTGGTAGAAGTACTAGCAGATGTGGCTAGAGGGGAAATAGGGGACGAGGTGCTGGATGGGTTAGTGAGGTGTAAGCGACTTCGGTCTGATACACCTAGTTTCTCCTCAGTGTTTGCTGTTGTTTCACGCCTGTACATGGGCACATAGCTACTTGTGCGGGAGGCCAGGTTTCTTGCTAGGTACGACTGACCGTACGTGTAACTGTTTCTAATTATCCACACACAATCCATGGCAGCAGGGTAGAAAGAAAGACATGCATTAATTGGTGGCATTCTCATGCAATTAGAACACACTACTTTAAACTATTGAGCAAACTGGTAGTACTTCAAATAATTTCAAACTTAATGTCAAAACTTATCTATGCAAGATAGAAACTCTTAGGTAAGGAGAAGTATTGGTAAAAATATAAAATGATCCTATATTATTCACAACTAAACTGTGCTAATATAATTTTTTAAAACTTAAAAATATTAAAAAACCAACCACTTAAGTTAAATAGAATAGAACAATTTTAATATAGCATGCTTAATAAAGAAAATAAAGTAGGGCATTAAAGATTTGTTGAAGAAAATAAATTAAGACAACCCCATGCAGTCTGACAATAATCATTTTAAAATTTATTCTAGACAGATAACCCCTATCCCACTCTGAAATCTTAGTTGTTACAAAATGAAAAAGATACAGTTAAGTTAGATGAATATTTAGTCCACAAATGAGATAATAAAAATTTTGAGTTTTTTTGTTAACTTTTTAGATACAAAACTTATCCCAGAACAAGAAAATGTTACATTTGTATCTTTATTAGAGATTACAGAAGTCCAGAAACAATGGTTTTAGACAACAAGTTATCAGATTATCATAGCAGCAAGTGGTGAATACCTCCTTTCAAATATTGACCTATACTGTTTGAGAAACTCACTGAAAGAGAACAAGCCCTAATAAAGGATAACATCTGTACCTAACTAGTCTTCTTTTAAACTTTAAACCATCACCCACAATGCCTGTTTAAATTATAAATACAAATCTTTCCATAGTCTAATAGACCATTGGATAATGGTGCATTGGTCTATTAAGCACAATGCCTGAGGAGTAAGATGGAAGGGTCAGATGTTGCCCATGTATCAGGCCACCTCTGTCCACACAGTAGATGGACCCAAGAGATCCATGATACTATTAAAAATTAAAATTAGGAAAGACATATTGGTGACTTGGACTCTTAAATATATCTATGTTAGTGACAAAAATCAATTTTTTTAAATGTTCATGACTATTCTCAAAAACCAATATGACTACTAAGACTGATAAAGTACACACAAAGCACTTTCTTACACATAATTAGTATAGCTAACTATCTATATTCTATACCTGTCCTGTCTGACAGAAGCCTAATGAGAATTAGTCATGGCTGCATACTGAGCTAAAACAAACTGTATTGGGCCAACAAGACATAAAATGATAGCAATCAGGGAAGACATACCTATCTCCAGTTTTTCCATCAGCATCAGTTGTAGTTGTTACAGTTGATGTGGTCACTGTGGTCACAGACCCAGTGCTGGACAAAGGCCTGCGAGCCGCTAGCCGTTCGTTAAGCTGAAAAAGTTAATTTAAAACTTTAAAAAATATAAAAAGCTGTAGAATTAAAAACTACCTATTTAGTATAGATGATTGGTTTTAAAAGATACAAGCTGGCAACAACTTTTCAATGGACTGAAAATTAAAAGAACTAGGAAGGGTAAGTAAAATAACAAAAGAACTCATACTACATAAATAAATGGAGTTTAGTTAACCATGAAACTTTGAATATAGGATTTTTTTGCCATGGAGAAACATTTATGATTAAAATTTATACCATATCAATTGAAAGTATAACATTACTATGATTAGATGGAAGAAAAATCAAAGACATATGTGTGCATGAAACATCAACATATTCAAACATTAAAAGGAAACCAATTTACATATTTTACCAAAAGTAGACTGTTAAAAAAGTCTATTCCATGGATTCCCACCCATCACACCAGTCAATAATAATTAAATGACAAGTTTAGTACACAGAACTCTCCCAACTAAAAAAATATTTCAGAAGAAAAAATAGACAAGCCAACAGTCCAGAAAAATACATCCATCATGCAGATCACAAAGTTATTTACAAAAATAGTTATCAAATGGACCAAAAAGAGGAGCAGTTGAGAAATGAATGTAAAAAGATGAATTCTGGATGACAGTATAGTAGTAAGATTTTATGTTATTACATATGTAAAGTAATAGAAATAAACATTTCATAGACTGATTAGTTATAACAGAATAAACAAAACTTGATCCTCAATATATTGAAAATTGGTTTTGACAATAATTATTGTAAATTTGAATGCTAACTCAGTGTACTAAAATACGTCTCCTGATTGCATGCTGTGTCACAATACCACATGTTTACAACTTTAGCAACAACAACAACAACACAATACTTTAACAGCCTTGCATCATACGCTGCTCATTAGTAGTTAAACTGGTACCAGTGCAGCCTAGCTAACATTACAGACTACAACAGACAGTGCCTCTACAAACAAGCAGTACTAGTGATGGACAAGCATACATGATGGAGCATCTCTCAAGTGCTGAGCTGACTTTATGGGGGTGGTGCTGTGAGGGGGGGGGGGGGTGTTGTGATGACCACAGGCATGCTAGATACAGGGTGGTGACCCCTCAAAAGCAGAATGAAAAGTACTTTTCTATTATTTTTTTTTCCAACTATAAAACAAGTGACGAGATCTTTCGCCAGCTGAAAAGATTCAGGTATCAAGATAGAATTCTCAAGAGTTGGTTGGTCTTCACTCCAGGGTTATTGTATCTGTATGGAAACTAGTGTCGCAGCAAATATATATATAAACCCAGTGTACTGATCAAAAGACTTGCCTAGAACCCTCTACCTACAGTTTCGTCTTGATCGTTCATAAAAAAATAAGATCCCAAACTCACAATTTCTAATCTAGTGTCAAGCGCAAGCCGTGGGCTCGACGCTGATCTTGGAAGTGAATTGCTCTCATTATCTGCCATCCACTCTGGCACCATAGACGTGCTGCCAGTCTTGCGGAGGTTTGTGCGCCAAGAGGGCAGTGACAGGGCACTGTCATTGGATGTAGTAGCAGCAGATGGTGCAGAATCAGCAGCCTGTAGTAGGATCATGCCATTAACATTAAATAGCTAAAGTTCAAATAAGCCATTTTATACTTGATGCTGTCTTTGATTCAAATTGAAACCATTTATTAGGTTTTTTGTTGAATATCTTTCTTCAAATTTAAAAACCATTTTTGTAGATTGTCTATTTTTTACTGATTAAAAAGCTTTTTATTAATGTAGCTATTCTTATGGTGGTGTGTATTTCATTTGTCCACAATTCTTTTTAAAATTACATCATCATGCAGATTTAAATCAATTAATTACAGTAATGAATATTAGCATGCAATGCAATGCATATAGCTAACAGAATATAAGATATAATTTAAAAAATCGCTTAAAGCATGTACTTATTTTAATATTTTTTCCACTACAATTTTTTAAATAATTATTTTACTATAGGCCTAATAAAATAAATTGAAAAAAAAATGAGTAATAGGTGATGTCTAAAAAAATATAATTTGAACTTACACAAGGGAAGAAATGAAAATAAAAAAAATGGAACAACACTACTTGGGATAAAGCAAATAATAAATAAAAGTGTATGTGTAGCATAGTTCCAGTCAACTGTAGTTGGTGTATTGATGATAGCCCTGTTCACACACCCCACATTTTCCCAATGCTGCTAGATGAAAGCTTCTCCAAGAGTATAAGTTGCGAGTGGGAGTTTTAGAAACAGGCACAGAGTTAGTTTATTATTTGGAAGCATTAGAAAGAAGGGTGAGTTAAGACAATGTTAGTTCTTTGAAAACCCACAGATCAAACTGAATTGAATTAGTAAAGTAGATTCGTCAGACCATCCCAGTTAATGATGCCATGCTTGAAGATGCCGGATGCAGTGTCCATACATAGGAGGATATAGTCAAGTCTAGTGAGCTGGGCAATAGTATGGTGCCAGTAACTACACCACATACCCACAGGCCAGGCTGGAGCACTCACCTTTTCAGTTGGAAGGCGGGCTGGGACACTAATGGACCGGGACACCAAATCTCGTCCTATACTCATAACAGAGGTGACGGGTTTCCCTGGAGTAGAGTCCTTTTGGGGGGAGTGGCAGAGTGGGGGTGGAAGGGGAGCAGGAGGAAAGCAAGCAGTGATAACAGTGATAAATTTGTCAAATCTGTGTTAAAAGATTTAGCAGTAACAGCTAGTGCTATGGTTGGAAAACTGACAAGCTAGAAAAAAAGCAGGAAATTATTGGACAGCCATACCATCCACACTTTTCAAACCAGTTAGCATCAACGAACATGAAATGACTTGTTGTAATGTTAAGAATAGGCAGTGACTAGATGATAACAGCTTATGCTTATTGAGAATAAAATTTTGTAAATAGATGTGCTGTGTGTTGGTTAAACATATTTTACAAAAACTGCAGGAAAAAATATATAAATCAAATAAATATAAACAGGATACTTCTACATAAAACTGGGAATAAATGGGTTAAATATAAGAAAATATACAGCAAGGTCAATACAGTAAAATGAATGTTTAAATAACAGACAAGATAGTTGCTGATAAATGTAAATAATAACACGGTGGTAATGGAATAAATAATATTGATATGATTCTTCTATAGCAATAAAACAAATTTCTGAAAAGCTTAAAGGGAATAATGGCTAGATTTTTTTGTAGTCTAGGTCATTGCTTAGTGAGAATATTTCCCTATCTATGATATATTGATGAAGATCCTCAACTGTAGTTACTATTAAATTAACAAATCAGTAAGCATTTAAAGATAGATCAATTTAGAAGAGATATTATATAAAAATCATTGCTAGTCTTTTAACAACTAATACACTATTTTTTTTTAAATTTCCAAAAATATTTGCAAGCACACAGCCGATAAATGCTTTCAAGATTGTTTTATCATAAATTGTAAATATTGTACATTAGAAACTATAAATGAACAAACTGGGTATTATTTATAAAGCAGGTATGCCATGATTAAACAGCCTATGATGACTGTAAGCACTGGAGAGAGCAGGTAAACTATAGAAAACAAAGCACAAATCCATACTAGGTGTGAGTATTGGAAAGACCTGTGCCCAGTGTTTGAGAAACGAGACCTGCGAAGCTGATACTGAAAACAAAAATTGTGTAGAGGGGGAGACCAGTGTTGAATTAGAGTTATCACAACTTGCCTCACACAACAATACAACAAAACTTAGTGCTTCATAGCTTCAATCTCTAATAAAAAAAATTCTTATCATCTGAAGGAAATTGCAAACAGTAAAACAAAATTTCAACTGAAAACACTTTAGAGCATTAGAATGTATACTATCTTTTTTTAAATATTTTTTTTAATGAGAAAGATATTTTATTAAAGCTAGATCTAGATTATTACACACATTAATATTCCATAGAATTTTAAAAACTTGTCATCCCCTATTTAAAGTTTAAGCAAGAAGGAAAGCTAGAATAATGTTAGTCTCAAATTAGGTTGGCAGCTACGAGCTTCTTTAAATTTTAAGTCTACAACATCAACTACAGTTGAAGTGTAAAAAAAGGATTTGAAAAACAAAACTATATTTTACAATAAAAACTATCTAAAGCTTCTAAATATGGAAAAACAAGAACAAATCTCTAACTTTGGAAAACATTGTGGTCAAAAAATGTTTAAAATATTTTCCAGAGTTACTGGCAAAAGTAAACTTAAAAACAAAATTAAAGCCAAACATTGTTAATCAAATGAGAAAATAAAACAAAAGGGTGCTCACAAGTACACCAACATTTAAACCATTTAAAACCATAAACAAACAATGCTGTTGGGACACTGGGTGGGAAACTTACTTGTAAAGAGGCTTCACTGTTAGGATCAGCCAGCCTCTCTACCTTCGAAATACTGACAGTAGGCCTGGGTGTCAGCACTGCGGCAGTCGTGTCAGGAGTCACCGTTGTGGGTGGTGGAGACGTGATTAACGGTGCTTGGGGAACAGTCACCGTTGGTGTTGGTACAGTCACCGTTGGTGTTGGTATAACAGGAACAACAGAAGGGGTGCGCTCAGATTCTGATACCTCCTCAATTTTAGGCATATCAGGCCGCCTCAACTCAGCGCCAGCGGGGAGGGGCGCCGGGGTTATAGTCCGCAGCCAGGAAGAAGAAGTGGTGGATGTGTTGGTAGATGTAGGCAGCTGTTTTGATTCCGTGTAGATAAGAGTGAGCACCCATGGCCAATGGTAAAACAAACCATGTTAAAATAAATATTGGTGCACAGTTGGTTAAAAAACAATCTATAAAAAACTTTCCTTAAGGTTACTACTGCCAAAAAAAGCAAAGTCAACTCAAAAGAAGAGTTTATTTTCTATAAAGCTGTGCAAGGATAATTTTGACTATGTCTAAAAATAAAAAACAAATGTGGCAACTTTTAACATTTCCTATGTAACAACATTGAAACTTTTTAATCTCTATGAGTGTTTTAAAAAAATATGAATTATTATATATGTGTTAAGGAAAAGATAACCTGTATGTGTACATACCAAAATGTAATTTATTTATTAACACATTAGTTTATTCTATTCATACAGAATATTGGTTTCTTAAATAATAAAGACTTTTAATAAAATACTTCAAAACAAACTATTTTTAAATACTAAAAAAATAAAATTTATAAAAATCCTTGCACATTAAAATTGTATTTGAATGAACATAAAAAGCAACAGCTACTCTACTTTAAAGCACTACAAACCACTAAACCCAAAATAAAGAAAAAAAAAAAAAATGTATACCTAATAGACAACGGCAGACTTTTATTTTTCAGAATACAACACCTAGAATTGCCTAATTTATTTTCATTTTAAAAAAAAAAACTATAGAAGATGAGGTGCTTAAAATAAATAAACATACCTGTGGTTGTTGGGATACCTGCTTGTTCTTTTCATTCTTTCTTTCTGCACAGAGAAACGACAAAATATTTTCCTACAACACTTTTACCAGATATTAACTATTTGATTTTAAACTTTCAGAACTTACACAAAAAGAGTGCGTTTATTCTTCATAAAACAAACTATATATAGAAAGAAAAACATGAGTTTTAAAATATGTTTAATCTGTATGATTAAGACTTGTATCATATGCCTACTATATAAACACTGTATAACAGTATTTGCTTAATTTTTTTATATATGAAATATTCAACAGGTCAATACCTGTTTCAGCATCTTCAGTTTCTTCTGGTGAAATACTAGTTATAATCTTTTCCTCATTCTTGCCTGGGTGGAGTGATGCTAGTGCTGCACGTTCCTCTTCAGATGTACGTTGTATAACATTCTGTTTTTGGTCTCCACTCATACGTGTAACAGAGCTTCTGCACATTCAATTTTAACACACACTTAATAACATCACATACAGACTCAGAATTTTTATAATAAAATTCTTCATAATTTTTATAATAAAATTCTTCATAACTTTTTAAAATAAAATTCTTCATAATTTTTTAAAATAAAATTCTTCATAATTTTTTAAAATAAAATTCTTCATAATTTTTTAAAATAAAATTCTTCATAATTTTAATAATAAAATTCTTCATAATTTTTATAATAAAATTCTTCATAATTTTTTAAAATAAAATTCTTCATAATTTTTTAAAATAAAATTCTTCATAATTTTTATAATAAAATTCTTCATAATTTTTTAGAAAAAATTCTTCATAATTTTTTAGAATACAATTCTTCATAATTTTTTAGAATACAATTCTTCATAATTTTTTAGAATACAATTCTTCATAATTTTTTAAATAAAATTCTTCATAAATACTCAAATTACATAACGTTTATATAAGAAAAGTGAACAATACCTCCTCTTTCCACCATGACCTACAGGTAGGATAATTTCTGTTTCTCTTTCGTGATTATTTCTAAACTGAAAGCAAAACAGTTGTAACAGGTTTAAACATCTGTAACTACTGGCTCTAAAGCTAAAACAACAGACTTCAACTAGTTTAGTAGCAAAGCAAACCATTATGTTATACCGAATAACCAACTTACTGTTGCTTGTTTTTCTTTTAGATCATTTAGTAAGTTTAACATATCTTTCTCTGCTAAATCAAAGGCAGTATGACCCTAAGAAAAATAGGTCAAAATTTTCGGTTCAGGTATATAGTAACAAAATTTTCATATCAAATAGATCTATAAGGTATAAACACAAAAAGTAAAATAAAAGTACCAGTATCAATCTCTTTTTGAAGAATACTTTTTATAAAACAAAAAGGGTTCTAAGTACAAAAACTATATAATTGCTCAATCTATTTAATCTATATAAATTTGTTTGTATGAAAAAATACAAATTTACATAACACCACACATAAATTAAAATAATGTTTACAAAACTGAACCCTGTTAGTGAGTTAGGTGTCTCCACTACAACTCCACAGAACTGAACCCTGTTAGTGAGTCAGGTGTACCATAAAGGGCCACAATCAGACTTACAGCTTTGTTTTTGTGCATCATGTCACACATGTTCTCCACTAAAACTCTGCAAGCTTCCTCTTGGCCCCAGTGAGCAGCTGCATGTAATGGTGTCCACCCATCATGGTCCTCAGCATTGATGTCTACCCCAGCCTCCATTAGTATACTGATACAGAAGGATAACATAGTTAACATCGGTTATAAAAAAAAAACAAGAATTTAAAACATACAAAACAAAATAAACTGTATATCAGGAAAACTTTAGCTTTGAATATTACTTTTTGACATCAAGAGGGATTCTAAAACACTGTTTAATTATCAATAAAGCAGCAATTTAAAATTTCATATCAAAGCTTCCAGCGCCATATTTTCCAAACGTATAACAATGAAAATAACTATTTTTATCTGAATGTGTGCTAAAATGGTCTAATCTAAAATTACATACTTTTTTCATAACCTTTATTCTAAATTACATGGTGGCAAAAACAATTAGAACCTGGTTTCTTTTATTAAAACATTCTAATAAGTTGATTAAAAAATGCAACTGCTGAAAAGCAAAACAAAATAACTATTTTTTTAATTAGTATTATAATTTCTATTTTAAAAATTTTAACTTACTTCATGACTTTCATATATCCCTTAGCTGCAGCTACATGTAAAGCAGTAGCCCCTGTTTTTGGATGTCTAATTTCGTCTATCGTTTTGTCTTTTAACCACTTATTAGCGTCTTCCAGCATCCTTTCCTCTTCTTCACAACGAGCAGCTTCAGCATCAATGCCTGGAGAGAGGAAAAAAGATACATTTGTAACAGAAATAATTCTTAGAAATTATCAATTTCCTTGATACAAAAAGTATTCACTATTTTTAAAAGTCTTACATCGGGAAAAAGGTGGTCATGTGTGTACTTTTTAATCAATAATTCAATAGGTGCTGAGTTTGTTGAGTCCATCCAGCTTTGATGGGTACCTGACTCAACTCAGGGAAAGTAAAAAGTGGTCGGGCACAGTGTTGCCCACATTAACCTATACCAACAAAAGAACCCTACTTGATATGTCTGTTTAACCACAAATTGAACATACCTTGTTTTTTCATTTCTTCTTGCAAGAGTTGCTCCATAGAATCATTTTCTGCAATATCAACTGGTAAATCACCATCATTATTGACAGCTGCCACATTAGCTCCATGCTTCATGAGATACCTGCACAAGTACAACACCCAGCATTATCCTTTCATCTGATATGTTTAAGAAGACTGGTATATCAGTTAGCTACCCCATTCAACTCACCTAGCTATCTCTGTAAATGCACAAGAGGCTGTAGCATGTAAAGGAGTCCAACCCTCATTATCACAGACATCCACATCTGCACCTTGCTCTACAAGGAACTCCACCATATCTAAATTGTCATCTATACAGGCCTAGAAAATAAATTACATTTTTTATAAATAACTTTTTTTATATACCCCTAACAAAAAAAAGCCAAACAAAAGTTAAAAGGTTAATCTTTAATCAACTAGAATTAGAAACATCAATAATGTTTTTCAAATATTTCATGTAACTTCTGGTATTTGGATCTATCAGACTTTTGGCATTTAGATATCGCCTTGCAAAGAAATCTTTCAGGTGGGCACAGCATGACAACCGTATTCTTTGTTTATATATCAAGCTACCTTTCTTGTAGACCTCACCAGATACTGCTGGGTTACTAAGTACAAAATCACTGCCATTTTCATTTTCTGTTTTCGCTCAGTTAACATGTTCACACGTTCAGCATGGCGTCACACTTTTGCATTTAAAACAAAATTGTTTGTGCATGTGTGAATGATAAAGTACATTCAGTTAAAGTTAACTTGCTGGTGTTGTGTTCTAAATATGTATCATGTATACCACAAATGTAAATACTGTGGGGAAAAAACAAAGGTTAAACTTTGAAGAACCATAACATAGGACTACATGATCAAGTGGTGTAGTACACAAATCCTAGCTCCTAAGTCTCAAAATGTGACACTGGGTTTGAGTTGGTAGAACAACTATGGGTAACTGACTTACATTAGGGAAATTGCTCAACAATTAACTGAAAAACACCGTCCCTTAATATACAGAGGTCACAGAAACAGGTGAACTCTACTTCATCTGCCCTATGAACTGCCAGGTCTGAAAGGGTAACTTACTACACTCTCAACACACACACACACATATTTATTTTCAGAACAAATATCTATCATTGCTGTCAAAGTACATCATGTGTAACAAGAGTTATGAATCAGCTTTTGACTATTACAGAGTTGAGTAATCATCTGTCTCCAACAGAAAAACTGGATCACTGGTTTGATGTTTGAAAGTAAACATCTCAACACTAACAGGCTAATGACAATATTTATAAAACTATGCTTTGCCTGTATGAGGAAAGTAGCACCAACACACACACAAGCCTAACACAACCTGCACAATAAGTTCTGGTAAATGTATGTAGTTAATCTGTAATCAATATAACTTGTAGCCTCTACCTTAACTAAGTCTATTTAGTGAACTTATCACAAATTTTTAAAAAAGTAACTACAGTTAGTCCAACATGTGGTAAAAATAGTCAATCCACTAACATGGGCCGTAACCTGAGGGTAAAAAAAAAGACCATTCTACAAAGACACATTTTTAATTTTTTTTTTTTTAAATACTTCTTTAATGGTCTATAAAATTATATAAACGTTGAAACAAAAAAATATATAAATATATATAGTCCTATTTATAGATTAATATTCTGAGTATGCTATTTTTACAGAGTTAATTCGAGATTTTGTTCAGGGCTGTTCATTGTTCTTAAGTGATGACGATTTTTACGTGGGTACTTGTCCGCGTTAAAATGAAGCGTGTGACAAATCTATCAGAGATTCTGATGATGAAACTACCCAAGCAGTCGAATAACCGGTAAGGGGAGGGGGGGGGGGGAGGAGAGAAAAGAAGAGAGAACACATGACCCAATTTCCCACCGGCACACGGAACTTTCTATTTTTAGCAATTACCTTTTGTTTACTCAATGCAACGTATAAAGCCTAAAGACAGTTTCAAATGTACGTCTACGGCATTTTAAGAAGACGCGGTCCCATTATTCATACGGTTAATAAAACAAGTTAAGCTGTACCGTAATGAAAGTCAAATTAAAATATGCCGTAATCTTTATTAATAATAAATCCTTCATCTGGGCCGTTAAAACGCCATTACAATAACGCACAAATCGTAGATCTAAGTTTTTTTTTTTTAAAAATAACGCGGATATTGAATCTATATTTTAAAAAAATGTATTATTCTTTAAAAATAAATAAGTGAACTAGGCCAGGGCAGTTCTGTCTCCCAAACTCCCTCCCCGTATGTCTTATCTACGATGCACCGTGTAGAGGTGACCCGTCTAGCAGACGAGCAAAAAACACGTGCGCATGTCTGCCAGTCAAGCCCACCATCACGTGCAGCATCACAAACTTGACTCATATTTAAATTAGCCTAACAATACATCCCAGATCCTCAACAGAGGGCCCGGCCTAATCGATGTTTTCCCAGTAAAATGTTATTTTAAACGAGCCGGCCACTGTAGAAACATTAGTGCCGACTCATCAAAATGGGAGCTGCTACACACCGTGTAGGTCCACGCCCAGCGGAACCAAACACCTTGTGCTCACCGCGTTCCTGACTTCTAAACAAACACCTCCACGCGTAATAAAAACAACAACTTTTAACAGAACAAACACCTCCAAGCTTTATAAAAACAACAACTTTTAATAGGAAATTATATGTCTACGTCAAATAATGTTAATTACATTAAATTCTACATTAAATCTATGCACTTTTTAAAGTAATAGGCCCTACATTTCCTACGGTTAACGAAATTAAACTGCTAAAGGATTATTTTAGACTTGACTCAGTTCTTAATTCTAAGAAATGGTTTGTTACTTATGTAGCATGCAAAGTGACGATAAATACATTTTCTAACAATTTTGGGTAGGCTTACATCATGTAGCAAGCTGTTAATGTTATTTATCCAAACGCTGATACAGATTCATAATTTCATTTAAAAAAAAACGTTTGATTCCAACACATGTTAGATGTGTTAATTTATTTCAATTCTATATCTTTGAAAAGCATTTTTTTTGCAGCATGCTATTAAGTTTGTTTAAAAATGACAGAAGATACAGTGTTTTAAAAATATATAATAAAGAGATTGACAGTAATATAGCCACCCCCTCCACTCTATTCTATAATGGCACCAATAACCCCCTCTAGTTTATTATACCAACTGTACACTGGTACACTATCTAGTCATAATAAAGCAACCACTTCAAGCTGAAGCATAAAACCATAAGATGGTAGAGTTGTAACAATAGTACCATGTAAATGGTACTGTAATAAAAACCTTAAAGGACCATGTAGCAACTAAAATGTGTTTGTGGGTATTATTGCTCAATTCACACCACGACATTAAAAATTTTCTTTTTACATAGGCCTACAATAAATAATGCATCCGCTATTAGAATATTGTCCAACATAAAGTGAGTTATAAATAATTAAATAAGAGACATAAATTACAAACTGTGACAAAATAAGGCTGGTGAGGTGTAGGTCTATTGTTATATGTTGTCACATCAATCTGTCAATACACATTTGATTATACTCTTCAGTGGACTGACTAAACAATCTCCCTATAGAGCATATTCATGACATATCTCTTTGGCACCTTAAAAATTTATTATTATGTTTTATTTTAAAAATAAAAAGAAAGATTATTTGTAGAGCAATAAAATACACTGATTTCATACCAATGTATTGCATTTTCTAATTATTGTAAAGTTTAAAAAATGAACTATATTAAAATAGAAATAAACAATAGTTGTCTATGTTAAGATACAATCAAAAAACTTATCAGGGAGAGCTTTTAGATTATAACTTACACTTGCTATTTAGCTTCAATGCTATAACATGTGTGTGTGTGTGGGGGGGGGGGGGGGGAAGAAGAAATAAACAACAACCACCCAGATGTGAGAGTGGGGGTGATGAATTGAGATGAAGAAATATTCAACACACGTTCAAGTTCAAAATACAATGTTCTTTATTAAAATTTATAGTCAACTTCCTACCTAACCTTACTAATCTATTGTTTACTGTATACTGTTCATACTATATGCCATCAATGTTCCCTCTAAGCTGCGCGGTTGCGCGGCCGCGCAGTAGTTTTGAGCTGCCTAGCAGTGATTTTGTAAAATAAATATATCCTTGTATAAGACTTTTAGAACAGCGCACACAAAAAATACATTTTGCACACCAGCTTTTCCTCCTTAGAGGGAACATTGTATGCTATCTACTATTACGACCGTCTCTAACCGCTACCTTACACCTTCTGCTCTCCTCGCTAGCTACCTATCAACTGCCGCTAATCTTACTACTGGCCCATGCCTCAGTGGTCAGCTGACCGTCCCACGTGACCGGTCAGCTCCTGTACGTCCATTGGTCTCCACCCAACTATCTATAGCCTGTTTCTCTATCTACTTGACCTAAACTAGCGTCATCACAACATGACAAGATGTACAGAGAAGTAGATGTTGTAACAACAAAACAGTATTATTTTACAGGCCCACTGAAACTGATAGTAATTAAATCATTTCTCTTAACCCCAGATCACTGAGAAGGTCTTTGCGATCGTGGGGAGTCACAGAAATGTAAACATAAAATAACAAATGATTACTATTGATTATAACAGGCCTACTATAGCTTGTTAGCTTAATAATTACAACAGGACATAGTTATATTAAACAAAGTAATAGCTGATTGACAGAGACATTAAAGCCCCTGGTAACATTACAACATCTTGGGTCAAGCATTAGATCGGAAAAGAAAAGTAGGTAGACATAAGCAATCCTAGAGTAGGACAATAGAGGAAGCAAATGGGTTCAAATAAAGAGAGTTGCACAAAAACAGAGTCCAATAGAGGTGAAGCTGCAGCCCTTGGCTCCACAGGAATAACACATAGTTATATTGATTTTTTTCCCAAAAATAGGCCTGGGATTTTTAAAAATTTCTGTTGTAAACAATGTTTCATGGATTTTTTTATATATTTTTTGAACTGATACAGAAGTGGGGATAATTGAAAATGTGTGTTTGTCAGTCAGCTAGTGCCATGCCCTATTTCCTATTTTTTTTATAATCCTGCTATTTTCACACAATATTTTATAGTAAAAGTTATGAATCTTTATACACTGTGCAGAAGAAACTGCTACATATGAAGCAACATTTTAAGGAAAGTTTACTCAATTTAATGGACTTCTTTCTACACAAAGCAATAGAAGAGAAACGGACATGTGTAAATTGTATACCTAATACCAAAAATTAATAAACAATAATATTTTAAAAATATACATTTTTCCATTCATATAGATAGCTTTTCAGTTCCTTAGGCCTATTAAATATTATTAGGCTTAAAAGGCTGGTGGGTATAAAACCTGAAAGGAATTCAAATAATAAAGGCTGATTTCTTAACTTTGATGATAAATACTATGTTGAAGGAGGTGGGGCGAGAGAAATGAACATATGTATGGCTAGTAACGTTAAAAACAGTTGGCACCAAAAAGTGCTGCTGGAAAGAATAGAATAACATTTTGCATAGCAGTAGAACTCATGACGAGCACATTCTGTTACTTGCGCGAAGTCCCTTTAATTACTTTAAAATGAAAATCCATGTCTATTAGAATTTTACTATTGACATTTTCAAATGGAAATAGGTACCACCTTTTACCAACCGGAGAGGAAATAGACATAGACTAGATCTAGACACTTAACTCAGATTTAAGTTACATAGTATGATAGTAGGCTTATTAATTTAACGATACTAAAATGAGATTGACAGTAATATAGTGGGGCCTACATCTATTTCAAATCTAGATCTAGACAACTTAGAGTCCTACCTACCTATCATACCAAACTCAGACAACACCCAGTGCCCAGCTTTTAAGTTTTCAAGACACTTTCAACACTTTCAAGTTTTTCAACTTTTAATTTAATAGATTTTCAGATCTAGAATATAGACTACAAATTAATTTTACCTTTAAACTAACATCTTGTAATGATGTATTTTTAACTGAAACGATATGTGACATGCATACATAGATTCTATGGTAAAATAATTTAACTTAGGCCTAGATAAAAGAGGCTACCTGATGAAGTGCTGTTAGTCCATCCACATTTGCTGTGTTGATATCTGCACCCCTTTGCAAAAGTTTTCTAACCTCTTCCTTATCCCCACTCGAACAAGCGGCCAAAAAAACGCAGCCGTCTTGAAATTTAACTTTAATTCTATCCTTTTTGGGTGACACAGGTTCTAAGTTTGTATCAGAATCTTCCCATCGTTTCACCTGTTCGTGCCTTCTAATCAAGGCACTAACTTGTTTTTCGTCGGCCGCCATTATTATGTTTGTGAGGATCCGACTTGACCTCACTCTCAGCGCCGTCTAACCGGAAATTATGAGACCGGACAGTCTTTCACTATCATAGGCCTAGGCTCTGTTAACAAATTTGCTTTACTTCCTTTTAAACTTGAAATTATTTGAAAGCTTAGTATATATTTGTATGTCGAATAAGTAATACAATAGCTGTATTTAAGATGAACATATCCAAATGAACTAGTGATAGGTTTTACTGAAAATATTGATCTATTTAGAACTATACACAATAAAAAAGCGAAAATTCGAAAAACATTCTATTAATAACCATTTGAACGGAAGTTATTATTTACAAATATGGCAGCGCTTAGAAAAACATCTGACATTCAACGTTTTCTGGTTATTTCATGGGCAAATATTCCAAATCGGAAAATCAGTACGACATTACGCTGTAATCAAGATGAAGCGAAACAAGAAACAAGTGTTAATGGTATCGTAATTTTTAATCACTCTGCAAAGACACTGCTTAGATATCTAGAGTAATTCTAGACTCTAGAGTTAACTACATTCGTCATTCAGTAGTAACTAGTAACTACTACAGTAGTAAAAAATTAAAGAAAAAGCCAAGTCAACTGAACTGAGCCCCATGACTCCTGACCTTACTGTTTCTTCAGTTTATGTGTGTGTATGTTACTGTGTTAGTAACTGTTAGTGTGAGGTGATCTGAACGATGTGAGTGTGCAATTTAATGAGGTGAAAGGTTTGGGATTGACTGGCAGCTTTGAACTTGGGTAATCTATCGTTTTGGGTACGTAAAATTTACTAAAATCGCCCGCGGCTATTAATTGTACGAAGACGTTACCTCATTGTCAAGGCTTTAATAGAAGTATATTGTCATATGTTTGTGTCAAATATTATAGAAAAATGAATAATAAACCTAAATCAATGGCTAAATATAATATATCGATAAAGGCCAAAAATTAACTTTAAACATCAGTGTCTGAGAGCAAGATTTGCTATATAAACGGCAGCCATTTGTAAAATAGAGTGGCTTCCCCCTGAATCTGCGCTATAAGCTTATAAAAATAAAACTTAGACAAGATGGCTGCTATAGTAAATGAGCATGGTTGCATCTGTTGGAAACATCGCTAGTCTTCATTTATTATGGAAAAGTTTTAATTCAATTGTTTAAAAACAGGTACATAAATGGAACAAGGAAACATTTTTGTATTTTATAAAACATAAATCCTCCTCAAAATGTGAAATAATTATTAAAATTTAAGGAGTCACCTGTTTTTCACATTACAAGTCGCGGGCGATTTTACGTACCTAAAACGATAGATTACCTGAACTTGCTTATTAAGTATTAAGTGACAGAGTTTGTCAGTTAAAAAATGTGTTAAAAACTCAATTTTTGAAAAGTTTCTTCTTAGATAAAGTTTCCCTTGCAGATAGGCCCATATCTCTTTTTTATAGAAATATTTTGTTTTTGGATATTTTGACATTAGTAAATACTCATTTGAAAGTAGTCACTGTTGTATGTATGCCGGCTTTTAGTTTTGATACTCCTTTTAGTTTTGATACTCTAACAACAGCATTCTTATGTAATGTACAAACAAATCTCCTAATTGTTATTTTTAAAATAATTTAATATAGGCCTACCTATCTTTCATTTTTTCAGCTGTAGATCTAGTTTTGTTTGAAGTACAATTTTGCCAAATGTTTTTCCTTAAATTTAATTTTGAGAAACTAGACAATAATCAGGCCTAGGTTACACCTGTCTGTTGCTAAACACCATCTATGTGCTAACTGTAATTTTAAGTTTTCAACTTCTACTTACCCTTATTTATAGTTATATAGGCCTACTGAAAATCAGAATTCATACTCACATAAAAAATTGCTCTGATAACTCCAGTTCACTTATAACAAAATGGCTTAAAGATAGACTCTACTTCACATGCCCAAAATAATCAGGCATAATAAATATGCTCAAGTGGTTTACGTTAGATTTCTGACTATTTGTCTCCTTCATTCATTGTATTTTTATACAAAACATTGATTTAGAAACATTTTCATATTTGCTTAGAACAATTTTTTGTTGGGTTGGGGTAAAAAGCCAACACAAAAATATACTTTCTGAATTATTTTTATTCTGTTCAACAACATATACAAGTTCTACATATCATTCTATCTAAACTCTGCAAATATGAACAAAATACAACTGTAAGTAAAATAACTATCTATATATATAATTCTCTGTGTGGGGACCATACAAAACACCACCAAGTAAGGGCTTAGCCGTTCCTTCCTGCTCTCTAGGCTTATCACTACCACCCACATCCCACCAGTCTGGTGAGCTGTGGTTCACCCCGAATGTTTACAATGTGACGGCTATTAGGGGCAGATAATTCAGCTTTTAAACAATTTGAAACCAAGTTCTCTTTGATGTTTTCATATTCGTCTGTAAACTGTCTGGAGGGGGAAGAGAGGGTAGTGTCGAATTCACAAATTATGAATTACTGAAAAGTAGAAAATAAAACAACTAAATAGCGGCGTATGTTTACGGCCCAGGTCAGCTCGTGTGATTTATTCTGGTATATCATGACTTGTCACAAATGGCCAATGCAAAAACAAGGTGATTCCACCCCTCACAAACAAAATTCACTAAAAAAAACTTGAGCTAGACAGAAAATCTTTTTTGTTTTGTTTTCATATAGTTGAGCTCTACAAGAATATACATTTTTATTTTATATGATTTGTGTTTTTTTTTTTTTTACCAAAATCCCTACTACTAGGATTGTGATTCTACTCACTAAATAATAATAAATAAATTATGCAAACAAACTACTTGATTTTTATGGTGTGTAGAAGACACATTTTCTAGCACTTTTGTGCTTATTAAGCAATGTAAACTTTTTGGCAAAAGAATACAAATTTATTAATATGCATAGAACCCATAAACTAGTTTAAAATTACAGCTAAATTTGATTTACATTATTGGTCTCTTAGTCTATTTGTTAATGCTTTCACCTGCAACATGTTTTAGATAAGAATGTTGTATTGTAAGTGTAATACTCAATTAGGTATGACTGTTAGAATTACTTTGTTTTTAAATGATAGTTCATGTATTTTCTTTTTACAGCACCTGAAGAAAATTTTAGAGTATATGAGATAGAAGGTCTTCACAAAAAAGTGGTAGAGAGACGTTTCAAAAGAACACCAAAAACAACTTACCCACCAAGATTTCGCAGCATGCCTGTGGACCAAGACTGGACTAATATTTGGCCAGCACCTGCTACCTTTAAATGGGGTACTGTACCATTTCCTGTGAGGCAAGGCTTTATAAAGGTATTAAAAACTTGTATTGTTCTTGTTGTAAAGTTTAATATTCTTTAACTCTAAACTAATTGAAACTAAATAATTCTCTACTTTTTTGGTTAGAACAGGCCAGTAGCCAATGACCATCTCATACATAGGCTCTGCTTTAAACAAAAAATTTTATTTTGTAGTTTTGAATGATCAAATGAAATGTAGAGGTCTGAGCGTTTGAATTGTTAGGATTTCTAAAATTTATTTTTTACTGAAATATTGTTCATGCTTTTTGGTTAACCTATTTCATACCTTAGAGCTTATCCAATTTTAATCACAATTTTTTTTTTAAAGTCTTCTTCAGAAAATGATGGTGTTGTACCTTCCAAATATGGCAACTTAGAGTTAATGAAAATCCCTAACTTCCTCCACTTGACCCCTGCACATATCAAGAAGCAATGTGCGGCCTTAAAAAGTGAGCTTTTTAGTTTAACTGTGTTTATAATTCTGATTAAAAGTTGTGATTTCACTTAGTAAAAAAAACAAGTTTTTCAGGCTTATTGTGGGTAATTGTACTGTATTAAGTTACAATACCTTCATATGCCACAGAAACATGAATTCTACTCATATTTTATTATAGCTGCTGCTTACTTAATGATTGTTTTGAAAATAAAGCTGTACATCAATAGACAGCAGCCTACTATTTAAATAGTAATTTAAGCAGTGCTTGCCAATGTTTTCTTCTTGAACAGAATTTTGTACACCTTGGCCGAAAGGTCTGGAAACTGACGGGAAATGTCGCTATCATTTTCCGCTGGAAACTGTTACATGTGATTATGTATTCTCTGCTCCATCGGTGAAGGATGACAGAGCCAGACATGTCATACTGAAGGTCAGTGGGTGCCAGTTTTTGTAAAGTTTTAAACCTCTTCTCCAGTTTATTATCATGGGACAGCATGGTCAAATGGTATAGGACTGCTATCCCAAAAGTCTTGAGTTTGAATCTAGGTTCCTGAATCACGTTTTGGAATAAAGGTGGCTGGGTAAAGTGTTGACTACACTATCCTTCATATGCCAAGGTCATAAAACAGGTGAACTCTATTTAACTTGCTCCATGTACCCTCAGGTTCAAAAAGGGAGCTGTACCAGTTCATTATCAGTTGATTGCTTTTATAGTAATGGCATAAACTGCTCTCAAATAAAACTAGCATATTGTATCTTTTTTCTTATTATTTCTCAATGGGTGGCCAATAGTATTCTATGTTGCCTGTGTTTTTTCATTATCTGCTTAATTTTTATTTTGTTCATCCTATTATTATGAAAAAAATGTATCACTTACAAATTTTGAAATAAAATGATCACAGAACCACCTCAATTGATGTTTTACTAAATAAAAATGTATTTCCTTGCTTTACAGTTTTATTTGTCAGATTTAAAACTAGATGAGCATGCAAGAGACAAATTTATTAGATTAGTTGGTCACAGGTATAACCGTGAAACAGATGAAGTTGTATTCCAGACTAATAGGTGAGTATATTTTAGCGCATGCATTCTTCTCTAAAATATCCTAATTTTTAACTTGCTTAAGTTACTGTTTTAATCAGGAATTTTAATTCTTTCTATTAACTTAATAAATATAATTTAATGTAAATAAATGGTTTGTAAAAATGGTACTGTTGTCAAGTAAAATTTAAGTGGCTTATTCACTTATTTTGTAACCGCTAGCATTATGCGTTTTCTTGTAGGTGTCCACTGAAATCCCAAAACTTGGAATTTTTAAAGTATGTTTTCACGGCTGTGTATTTTGAATCATGGGTAGGTAGCTAATGAGCTTACATAATTTCAAAACTTAATTTTTTATAAAAAGTTTAATTTCTTAAAATGTAATTATCTAATTTTCAGTTACTAGTCTTTACCTTGGTTGTTGCAATGTGCATTATTTTTATATAATCTTATATTATCAGCTTTTTTTTTAAAAAATATGATCTAAGCTATGACAGGTGCTAAACTGTTTTGATGATGCTGTTTTTTTTTTATTAACAGAAATATGAGAGCTGGGAAAAGTTAAAAACTTTGGAAGACATGGAGAAATATTTCTGGGACATCTACCCTTCTAGGAAGAATTGTTACGCTCTTTTACAAGCAATCAAAACTGCTGATGATGTAAGAGTTATTTTTCCCTGTGATTTTATTTTCAAAGTCATTTTAATCTATTTAGTAAAATGATACTGATGTCTTATGTCTTTCTTTCAGTCCTCTGAGACTAAGGATGGTGCATTGAGTTACCTCCCCTCGGACATGAAAGATGAGGAAGCTGTATGCAGCTTGCCACAAGTTCAACAATTAAAATCTGCCACGGAAAGTTTATTGAACGAAGGAGAAAATATCGACTCATTAAATAGTTACAAAGAAGCTGTAAAGAATTTATTAAATATTAAATGCAGTTTTCCTGTATAGTTTAAAAGAACCCAAATTTGCTTGTAATGAACTTTGTAAGCTGCATTATTAATTGAAACAAACTGTATGGAATACTTCTGTCCTGCAGCTTAAGGTCAAGTGTGTATCAGGTGATGATGTTTAATGGAATTGTATTCTTGTACAGGTTTTGAATGTGCACAAGTGTGATGCCAAATTTTTGTATGAAAATATTTTATTTAAAAGAACAACATAGATCAAACAATTGTTTTGTTCTTTTTTTTTTTAAATTCTATATTTAATTCTTTCCCAATATTTAGTATGAGAATAGTTAAACTCATTATAAATTTATATCTGTCTTCTTCTTTGTTCTTAATTTTACTTTTGGAAGGGATCCCCTCCAACACAATTAAAGATACGCTATGCCCCATTGAGGTCATTGACTCAGATTTCAGCCTGCTTTTCTTTTTGGATTTGCTTCCATAGCCTTTGTCCAACCAATCAGTGCTGTTTGAGAAATTTCATGCAGCATTTTATTTTCTAAAGGGTGCATAGTCAAGCAGACTATTGCTAACCCAAGTTTCTGATTTGGTTCCTAGCTCTAGTCAAGTAAAGGCAGCATTGCTTAGTATTAAATTATAACTACACAGATGAACATCTGCCTCATAGACTGCACTCTAATGGGTATTTTACCATTTTATATTTTCTTGAAGAGTTCAAACCAGCATATGAATGAATGTTCAAAGTTCAATAAGAGTTATTATTTCTATTAGCACAAAATTTAAACTCATGCAGTCACTAGTGGTGTCTGTCTTTCTGTATGGATACAAGGCATGGAACAAAGTAGACCTCCAGAGAAGAATCCCAGGCCCTGGAAATGAGATGTCTACGCAGACTTCTAGGGAACTCATGCAGAGCTTACATAACTAATGAAGTTTTATGAAGAGGTCAGAAAAATGATTGGTCACTTTGAGGGTCTACTGAGCAGTCAAAACAAGAAAATGGAGTTGGTAGGCCCATATCACAAACAAACAGCCTATCAATATTGCAATGAAGGGGAAGCAAAGACGACACTGGATGAATGACATCAAGGATTAGACGGGTCTGCCAGTCTTTGAGGACTAAGATAGATGACAGAGAATTATAAGGTCAACTGTCATGCCACACCGACCCCAGAAAGTGTTAATAGAACATGATGACAAAAATTTATTATAAACAGTATGATAGTGAACAAACACTCATATTGGAGGTAATTTTTTTTTTAATTTACAGCAAAGTTGTCAAACGTGGATACATCATTTGTCATGTACAAACACACAATTCTCAGCCTGGGTAAGCTTGGAGATTGACAAGACTTGAAACCTCTGCAATAGAAAATAATAATGAAGTTACTTGACACGTTTCTGTTATCAACTCTTTAATGCTGTACCTAAAACTGATATGATTTTTGTCCACGACACATTTTAAAACTATTTTCTTGAAAAGGATGTGGCACTTCAGTGACACCACGGTAAAAAAAAATCGACTTTTGTGGTGGGGGGGGGGGGAGGGTCGGGTCAATGTGGACGTCTACATGTTGAATTTAACAACACAATATGCCTACTTACAATTGAAAATAATTTTTAAAAATATTTTAAAAAAAAACTGCACACAAAAGTAGGTTAAAGATTAAGTCGGCAGTTCTTGTGTTAAATGTATCAGAAATGTAGCTGTATACTAAAGTATACCGCCCGCCTATGAAAAAAAAAGCGATTTTTTTTTTACAAGCGGGAGGGGTGGGGTCATTGTCCGCGGCAATTTTCTAAAACACTTCTTGGTGTTTCAAGTTCATTTTTAAACATTTCAAACAATTGTAACTAAATCATAGTAGGCCTACATCATTATTTTGTGAAAAAGCCTAAAATAATATAGATTTAGAGGGCGGGGGTAGCGGACCGCGCCGGGTGACACCATTTAGGGGGTGACACCAAGGCAAAAAAAGGCAAAATCTACTGAAGAAAAATGCTTTTTTTTGCCAGTCCCATTAATGATTAATTAAAGTTAAATAGTCTTTTAAGTATGAATCGACTATTATTACAAGGGGGTAGGGGTGACACCATGACGTAAACGCGCAAACTATAGTGAAAACAATGCTAGATCCAACTGTATTAACAGACTAAAGATAAACATTGTTAATATTAAGTCTGCAGTGATTAAAGCTTATACACATACATGTAGGCGTATGTGGCATATATTTAAATTATATGCTTATGTAGGCTGACGCACACACACAAAAATATAAACACACGCACACACACACACACACATATATATATATATATATATATATATATATATATATATATATATATATATATATATATATATATATATATATATATATATATATATATATATATATATATATATATATATAAAGTGTACACAGCAAGGAACTGCAGTGCCGCACCGGGTGACACCCGACCTAGCAACGCCACTGTGTAGATCTAGATCTAATCATTTTTTTTTTCATTTAAAAAAAAACCCACGTTACAATTTAGATATTTAAATATTAGCGCGTGTATAATGTGCTCGCTTGTTCAGGTATGTAGGGCTAACGATCAGCTCAACCACAAATAAGGAGATAGGCGGTTTGTTATGGAAACACGTGTAACGTTAAGTTGAGTAAAAGTAATATGATGACGTCACGTTGATTAGCCAAGTTACTCTAACCTATATAGTCGCTACAAAATGACATTAAAAAGTCTGACTCTTTATGAAAATTAATGGGTATAAAAGCCTTTAAAATCGAGAGGCTTGTACGATCATTCTTTCAATTAAGAACAATTTTAGATAGTCTTAGCACATTCACACAACCACTGTAAATTTACACGCCGTAGACTTACGGACATCTTGGAAAAGTTGGAACTGCCAAATATTATTTAGGCCTAGTAATAGATGTTACCGAAAATATCAAATCCCCATATAACATTATCAGTTACTAATATAGCAATGCACACATTCTACATGTTAATGAATTGGTGATTTTGCAGCGTGTTTTGAGGGGTCTACTAAATTTTTGTGGACCTCCACAATGGGGGGGGGGGGGGGGGGGGGAGTTCGTCGAAAGTGGACCGCTGGGGGGGGGGAGAGGCAGGGGCGGAACTACAGTGCCGCCATACCCCGTAATGTCCTCACACCGCCCCTTCCCCTACCCCCTTGGCTTCTGTCGCTATTGTATCCAAGTGCTGACAATAGGAAGGCAATATGTAAATTTTTACCGAGTGCTTCTACTGTAAATAGAAGCCGATTTGTTTCTCCCCGCCCCAAAGTTAATGTTTACAGAAGTTTCGCCACAATATGCAGATAAACATTTTTTTTTAAATTATTAAATTTAGCAATGGGGGGGGGGGGGGGTCATCTATAAATGATGTCACGCTTTTACTTATCCCCTCCCCTCCATCACACAGCGTCACAAAAAACCATACCCCCACCCCCACAAAAAAATGACGTAACATCTCACCCCTACAACCCTCCTCAAAATTGCAGTTCATTTATTTTAAACACCGATTTTTTTCAATAAAATATTTACTAAGCTCGGTTAACATAGAGTAAATTTAATCAATCTGAATTACAAGTTATGAAAACAGTTTTCTAAAACGCAAAATAACGGCTCAAATAAAATTTCTGTCATGACTTTTTAGCGCAATTTCCTTACAGGAATTGCGATTATTAACTCGTCATTTCTGGATGGATGTGTGTCCCCAGCTTTAAGTCGTATCTCCTCAACGAAGCAATATCGAGGACTAGTTCCAAAAGCAAATATGTTAAGCAAGTCCCGAGGATGATTGTGGGCCAAAAAAATTTCCGGAATTCCTTCCTGGATTTCCCGGAAAAGCCAAAAAACCTCGAAAAAAAAAATGCAGTTTTTGGCCCATATCTCGGCAACCAGACCACTTAGCGACTTGAAACATTTACCAATCGATTCCTGCCATAATTTAGAACAATATTGCCGAAGAAAGTTTTCAAAAATATCCTTTCGTTCGGTCACAAATGTTTTTTTTTAAATTACATAAACACCTACAAACCGATCGTTCTCCTAGCTTGAACGCACCCCAGCATTACACGTCTTGTGTTTTGTCCCCGTGTGTGCTTTACGCTACGACAGAGCTACGGGTTATGAACATAATACACTACAGTACTATATAGCAATATATAGATATAGATCTATGGGGAAAGGGATGTGTCAAAATAATCAATTTTTCGCTGTCTTTTAGATCTTGCTATAAGTTTATTTTTTACTTATTAATTCAAACGTTATTTTTGTACCCTATTAATTTATTTATAATTTATATGAGAGTGATAGGGAGTTACAGTTACAAGGTTTTGTTTCGCTAGGCCTAATCATTTTTTCACATTTTTTAAAAACAAACTTGTCACTAGACTTTTTATTAACTTGTTTTAAAATGCAAAACCTCATTACCAACACACGTCATCACAAAATTACGGGACCCCCCCCCTTTTTTTTTTCTTCCTACGAATGTGACGTTATTTATGTACGCCACGCAGAGATAATGAAATGGTGTATATTTTTTGTAACAACAGTGCCGGCGCCAGGTTATTTAGCGCCCTAGGCAAAACTTATTTTAAAAAATTAACTAAATTCTAAATTAAATCATTTCATTGCAAAGTATGTCCATGATGAGACAAAAAACACACAGAGATAGGCAGTGGCGTAGCGAGGTCGGGTGTCACCCGGTGCGGCACTTAATGGTGTCACCCCCAGAGGCGTAGCGACCCTTCCCGGGAACAAACTTTCAATTTTTTTTATTTGCAACCACCCCCCCCATCCCCATCAAACTTTCGATTTGCACCCCCCCCCCCCCAAGTTTTCGATTTGCACCCCCCCCCTCAAGTTTTTCTCTAAATATTTTGCTATTTTTTGCCTTAATGTCACCCCCCTAAATGGTGTCACCCGGTGCGGTCCGCACCCCCCCCCCTCGCTACGCCTCTGGAGATAGGCTCGAACTCATTTCTGGCCTGGAGTAATCAATTTTGAAAATTTCTTATTTGCGCCCAACGAAAATTATGAATAACAGTGTTCCTTCTTATTAGGCAAGTTGGTCAAAGACCTTGAATCAATCAAACCATTACACATATCAAGTTTCCTTTATTTTTTTTATTTTTTGCATTTATACTATTAATTTGGAATTAACTCCTTTTTATAGCTTAGTCATTTGTCAGGAAGCTTAATTTTAATAATTTTTAAGAGAAGAATTCTTAGTTTTAATTCGCTTAGTAAAAAACTATTTTAATTAGTGTTATCGGCACCCCGATTCGACTATTTAAAGGAGAGAATGAGTCATAGAAATGGTTTAAAGATTTGCTATTTTTCATACTACAACTTATGTAGTTTACGCAACAGTGTGTTTTAGTTACTGTAGAACAATCACTGCTGCAATCGATTAGTTTTTTGTTTTTACAAAACCACTTTTCTATCAAGGTGCAAAAAATAGAATGTTTTGTCGGATTTTGTCCCCCCCCCCCTCCCCTCCCTAAACGGCCTGCGTTATGCGCCGACACAAAAAGGGCGTAAACGTGATAGGTAATATTATAAAGAGCTCATTACATAAATTATATACAGTGGAAATAAAGAATGTGGACTGCTACTTGGCATTACAGACTTATTTGTTTTCTACATCAATTGTGTGACAACAAAATAAATAGGCAAAGTGACTGTTAAAAACGAGTTTCTTCCAGGCATCTCTACCCCCCCCCCCCTCCGGATGAAACTCTGGTTAAAAAGCGCCCCGACCTTTTCAAATGAGAGAGTTGGGTGCGCATTTTCACCAACGCGCAAGATGGGGCGCAAAATTGATAGTTCGTCCTGGGCACCTACATAGAACGTTACGCCTTTGTATATAGTTAATGTATATAGTTAATGTAATATAATGAAAATTATCAATTATTACGTACTTTTTAATAATGGCGATTTCACATTTTTGCGCCCCCCCCCCCCTCCATGGACAGCGCCCTAGGCGGCCGCCTAGTTCGCCTTATAGGTAGCGCCGACCCTGTGTAAAAATCGAATTTGATAAATTAGCTGTTATTTTTTAATGAACACTGCTGGCCGGCAAAGTATGATTTTTGTTTGTTAAATTAATGTTTAGCTCTGAGTTACAACTAACTTTTGTAATAAGTGGATATCCTTTTGTGACGTCCACATTTTTTTGGAAATTTAGACCCTCCCTCCTGTCCCTACGCGTCCACTTTATAATTAGTGGTAAAGGGCCACATCACCCAGCAGTAGAGCGCTAGGCTGCTAACCCGATAGTCTTAAGTTCGAATCCGGGTTCATGGAAGTAGAACGTTTCTGAGTCCACCCAGCTTTGTTGGGTACCCAACTCACGTTAGGGAGAGTAAAGGCGGCTGGGCATGGCGCTGACCACACAATCTTTACATATGCCGAGGTCACAGAAACAGGTGAACTCCACTTCACTTGCCCCATAGACGGTTTGAAAGAAAACTTTACTTACTTTTAAGGCCACATGACATTTTTACCACTATTTACGTTCTCATTCTTCCCTTGCTTACCGCATAAGTAGCCCACAATCTATATACAGATACAGTGATTTAATAACCTGATAAACATGGTTTTCTTCAAAACGCGTGCACTGATGTTAAATTGTAGGCCTATACATTTTGTATACAAACGTTTCTTCTTTCTTTTAACATTGTAGAACTTGGATGTTACATTCAAAATGTGGACGTTGCTACACATTGGCCCGACCTAGCTCCCTAAAATGCATCCAAGACTTGTATTCCCCACACCCCAAGGAACCGAAGACTTCTATTCCCCCCCTCTTCGCCCCCCCCCCCCCCCCCAAAGGCATCCGAGACTATAAATTCTATTCCATGGGGACGTTTTTTTTTAAGAGATGCCTGGAAGAAACTTTGGACCTAAGTAAAAGCTTGCTAAAAAGTGTTTTAGTTAATTAAGTAAACAAACTAATGCGTCTTAATCAAGGAACATACCTTCATTTGTTACTACCGTCCGTCACTGCTCAAAGTCGTCAGCACGCAACTTCCGGTTTTGTTGGTTTCTATTTCAGGAACTGCAAATCTGCTACCGTCTATGATGGTTGCTATTGGCAAAGATGGAAGATATCTGTTTTGATGTGTATTGTAGTTTTTATCGCAGCTACCTCTGTAATTTTGATACTCTGATACCTCGATAAAAACACCGGACTGGTCGAAAGACGTAGAAGACGAACAGTAGTTTCCGCAGATGAAATTATTAGTGTATGACTTCGTAGCGTCAATGGCGGTCCACGGTTTGTACGGTGGCGACATCTGTAGTAGGTTTTGGGGATATGGAATGACGCTTTCGTCACTGCTGCGAACACAATCCATGTAAGGATTGCAATGTTGAAAATTATTACAAGGAACGAATCCATTTTGGAAATTTAGCTGTCTTTGGGTAAAGTTGTTGCCAGGAAATGAGGCATTGATGATTTCGGAATTATGGATATTTTGACCACTTGGACATTCGTTGCAGGGCGTAGGTTTCGGTAAAAAAGAAAGATGGCGTTTTGAGGTTTGGGATGATGGTATTTCACTTACAGAAGAAGAGCGATGTAAGGCTAAATTAGCTTCACGAGTTGTGCCGTCTGTTTCTGGTTTGAAATCACATGTTTGAAAAATCTGGCAACCTCGGAAATCAGACGTTGTTGTTGGCGCGTCGAGAATGTTGTCATGTCGGTCGATCAGCTGTTGCAGGTGTTGGATGTAGTCGATGGCGACTCGAAGGGTTTTCACTTTTGAAAGTCTCTTGTGGCGAGGTTCAAAAGGGACGTGTTTCCTTAGCCTAGAAAAAGCCAAGTTGACTGCTTGGACGCGGCTCCTTTCCCGCGCGTTACGCTTAGCAACAAGATGCGCGGGTTTGAGGCTATGAGGAACGTGTTTATAATTCGACTTCTTGTCGTTTCGGTGTCTGCTTTTAGTTTTTAACTGTCTTGGAGGTGAATAATATAAACACGCCCCAGGAGAAGAGGAATCCGACATCGATGATTGCGAAGAAGCAGAAGAAAACGATGTGTCGGATAAAATCATAATTCGAGTTTGAGTATAAAATTATATTTTTAAAAACGTATGTGAAGCTATAATTTATAAAAATAAATATGAACTTATCGCCCACTTTCCACGTGTGTTCAACTTCTGGTTTGTCGTAAATTTCCTACCGAATTTATACCCTGCTTATTAGCATAATCCAATTGACTTGAAATTAATCCATCGTTCAGTTGTCTCCCAGCTTCCTTCTACTGCGATGCAATTATTGGTTCAGTCCTTAACGACGACAGGAGCGGAAATTTTAAGGGAAGTAATCCAGCATCAGCAAACAATTTCTTTTTGACTAATCAACACTTTCTGAAGTGACTATCCCTTGCGCACGGAAATTGCCAGATGAATAATATATAAGAACAATCACACAAATTGAAAAAAAAAAAAGTGACTAAACGAACGACGTCACCAATGCCCCAGACTTTTGGTAACTTTCAACGATTTTTTAGCGCGTGGTGTTTTTCAACTGGTTATGAAAAAAAGGGTCTAGTAGTCCGCTGTTGTGTACTAAGTTTTATTTTAGTGAGGGAGGGGGAGGAGGGGTATGTTTAACTCAAGTTTGGTTGGTCACACCGGTTTATCTTTGTTAATCAATATTATAACATTGAATGCCTTTTCGCAGCATGAAACGCACAGATTCTAAATAAAAAAAAATTAAACAGATCGTCGAACCGTCTCCGATAGGTTAAGCTCCCCATAGAGGTACAACGTAAATTTATAGCAAGAGTTATCGGTATTATAACAAGAGTGATCTCCCCTACAAAGGGCAGGACTAAGCCACTCCGTGGTCATAGCAAGTACTAATGGCCGTCGGGCCCCGCCTCCGACAAAACCCGAGCATTACCGAAGGGGGAAAGCTGAGACTCCAGGCGGCGTAACTCTAATCCTCTGTTGGCCCTCGCCGCTTGATATTATGTCGTGCGATAGCACAGGTTCACGGATTCAATATCGGAGCCGGATTAAAGTGATCCTCTACACCCAACCAGCCGGGGAACTGCTGTCCAGGCTCCACCTCCACGGCTTCAGGAGCCGTAACCGGCTCTACTAAGTTCATATGCGAAATTTCTTCCCCTCCCCCGCCACATTCCCCTTCTTATACATCACGTTGAATTATGATTTTGAAGAATATAGTGTCCATTCAAAGGTGTCGCGAGGCTGGGGGGGGGGGGGGGGGGGGGGTGCGGACCGCACCGGGCGACACTGTATAGGAGGGGGGGTGGCACAAAGACACTTGTAAAAATGTATATTTTCTATATAAATTCTATTTCGTTACGGGGGAGGGGGAAAGAGGTAGACGAAGAGATGCCTGGAAGAAACTCTTTTAGCGGCCCCATTTTGTATGTTTAAAAAGTGGTTATGAATTTGAGCACATGGCTAATTGCGGCTCTGTGTATGATCAAATACTGTCCTTTACAAATAGGCGTAGCGACCTATTCAAGGGTGGCGAACTTTCAATTTATAGGCTTCATAGTTTATAGTCCTTCGTGTACGTGAAAAATTATTTTATTGGTGTGTTCGTTTATATATTTGTGATATTGGGTCATCCATAAATGACCTCCCCTTTCCCTCCGTCACACGTCGTCACAAAAAGCCAGACCCCCCCCTTAAAATGACGTCACACCTCAGTCTACGACCCCCCCCCCCCCCTCAAAATTGCTGATGAATTTTTCTTAAAACATCGATATTTTTAAAAAAATCTTATCAGAACTCTGTCAACATAGAGTATTTCGATCAATTCCTATTACAATTTATTAAAAACCGTTTTCTAAAACGCGAAATAACGGCTAAAATTCGTTTTCTAACATTGCATTTTTATAATGCAAAAGTGTGACGTCACAGCATCTGAACACCCCCCCCCCCCTCCTCATCACACACCGTCACAAAATTACGGATCCCCTTCCCCCTACGAGTGTGACGTCATTTATGGACGACCCCTATATAAGTTGGTGTTATTTTACTGTTGTAACAGTGGAGTTTTATAAAAAAGAAATGGTGTTGGTTTAAACTATAGGTTGGTGTTGGTTTAAACTATAGGTTGGTGTTGGTTTAAACTATAGGTTGGTGTTGGTTTAAACTATAGGTTGGTGTTGGTTTAAACTATAGGTTGGTGTTGGTTTAAACTATAGGTTGATGTTGGTTTAAACTACAGGTTGGTGTTGGTTTAAACTATAGGTTGCTGTTGGTTTAAACTATAGGTTTGTGTTGGTTTAAACTATAGGTTGGTGTTGGTTTAAACTATAGGTTTGTGTTGGTTTAAACTATAGGTTGGTGTTGGTTTAAACTATAGGTTTGTGTTGGTTTAAACTATAGGTTGGTGTTGGTTTAAACTATAGGTTTGTGTTGGTTTAAACTATAGGTTGGTGTTGGTTTAAACTATAGGTTGGTGTTGGTTTAAACTATAGGTTGGTGTTGGTTTATTTTACACGAGGGGTGGCATGGTTAACCGGTAGAGCGTTCGACTGCTAACCCGAAAGTCTCGAGTTCATCAGCTCTGATAGTACTTGACTCACGTTAGGGAGAGTAAAGGCGGCTGGGCACAGAGGCGTAGCGACCCTTTCCGGCGCCCTGGGACAAACTTTTCGATTTGCACCCCCCTCAAGATTTCGATTTGCACCCCCCCCCCCTCAAGATTTTGATTTGCACCCCCCTCAACCTTTCAATTTATTTTCCCAACCCATTTTGGCGCCCCCTAAGGTCGGCGCCCGGGACATATGTACCCCCCACCCCCTCGCTACGCTACTGTCTGGGCATAGTTCTGGTCGCATTATCTCCACCAATTAAATAGGTAAACTCTACTTCACCTGCCCATGGACAGTAAGATTCGAAAGGGTACTCTATTCTCTTATTATGCTCACTTAAGACAATGCGTTTTTAACCCCCCCCCCCCCTCCCTCCCCGCCATTCTTTGAAACGGCGTCACAGAAATAAATAATTTGTCCACTGGAAATTCCCTCCCCTTAATGACATTTTATTGCGCAAAATTTCGACTCTGCTAATGACCATCAGTTCTTTAAAGGATTGTTTTAGTTTTGTCATGCTCTTAAATCTTTGTGGATACGAAGGACATGTGTAAATAATGTGTCCTAAACATGTGGAGAATCAGATTTACTATAAGCCTATGTGATACAAGAGTTGACTGTTGGTAAGACATTTAACAGCAAGCCAGAGGCGTAGCGACCCTTCCCGGCGCCCGGGGACAAACTTTTCTATTTGCAACCCCCCCCTCGAGATTTTGATTTGCATCCCCCCCTCGAGATTTCCATTTGCACCCCCCCCCTTCAAACTTTCCTATCGATTTGCACCCCCCTCAACCTTTCAATTTATTTTTCCAACCCATTTTGGCGCCCCCTAAGGTCGGCGCCCCCTAAGGTCGGCGCCCGGGGACATATGTCCCCCCGCACCCCCTCGCTACGCTACTGCAGCAAGCTTAGGGGACGATGGTATAAATAGTGGTATATCGTGATATACTGTCAAAGTGATTACACACAGATTACATCACAAAGCACGGTGGCGTGCGCAGGATTTGTTATGGGTGGTTCACAAACAAATCTCCATATTTATTTACACATCAGTTTCAATATATGTATATTTTGGCGCCCCCTAAGGTCGGCACCCGGGGACATATGTCCCCCCCCCCCCCTCGCTACGCTACTGGGATAGATATATACATAATTGAGATAGGTGATCGTACCTGACAATAGACGTGGGTTTCAATTTTTTCCCCATTACGATTTTAAAACATTTAATTGTGGTTTCATGTGATTCAACATTTTCAAGCGACACTAGTTCGCAGAGTCCAGTTTCAATTTGGATGTCAAAAACCATCGTGGAGTGTGTTTCTTTTAAGCATCTTTTTCACGGGGTTGGGGGGAGGGGACGGGCGACGATGGACGGACACCTGACTATATAGTAAAATATTGAATTTTTTAAATGGTTTTGTTATGCAAGGAGATGTTTAACTATTCGTAAATGTTATTTTATTTTGGACAACAAAACATGGGTCAGTTAAATGTGGCAATATTTTACCTGTGTCAACTCCGGTGATTAATATTTTTTCTCAGTGGTCTAACTAACAAGCAGTTTAGGAATGTCATAGTTGAAAGTGGATAGATAGGAAGAGGGGTAGTGGGTGATTGAAAGTCAGTCATCTTTGTCAGCCTTGCACTTAATACAACACATTAACATCAAAACAATATCAGGCTCGTGATTAAAAAAAAAAGTTTTAATGATAAAAAGGTTAAAAAAATGTAAATATCACAGTTCAATAATCTAAAAACAAATAGTTAATGCTTAGAGTATTTTAAAAATATTGTGCTTGTACTAGTACATATAAACTTAAAACATATACAAAACTTATTTTCATTTAAACTAACTTCAAATCAACTAAATCACTCTCAATCACGTATTTCTTCTACATGCAAACTAAAATTAACTCCCCTGATCATTAGTTTTATACCCATCAGCCACCTTCATCATCTCAAACAACTTGCACACCCCCTGCTCCATCAAAATGGACTCAGCCTCCTCCAGCTGCTCCTGGAAAGAGGAAGTTTCACAGCAGAAAGCTGGGCAAACAGGTCATCCAACTTGGTCAGGTCTGGCCTTGACCCTTCCAGCCGAAGCTGCTTGGGGTGGAAGCCAATCTCGTTGAGTTCGGTGACCATCTGCCCCTGGGCGTGCTGACCTCTCAGGAAGGAGACAAAGACCAGATGGGCGGGGTAAACCTCCTCATAGTACTTCTTGTACAGGGGTGCAAACCTACACGTGTAAGTACAAATAAAACAGTTAACAAACCCAGAGGTATATGTATAGAGTTAAAAAAAAACAAGAGGTGTAAGTAAAGAGTTAAAAAACCTAGATGTGTAAGTATAGAGTTAAAAAAACCTAGATGTGTAAGTATATAGTTAACAAACCTAGATGTGTAAGTATAGAGTTAAAAAACCTAGATGTGTAAGTATAGAGTTAAAAAACCTAGATGTGTAAGTATAGAGTTAAAAAAACCTAGCTGTGTAAGTATAGAGTTAAAAAACCTAGAGGTGTAAGTATAGAGTTAAACAACCTAGATGTTTAAGTATGGAGTTAAAAAAAACCAAGAGGTGTAAGTATAGAGTAAAAAACCTAGATGTGTAAGTACAGAGTTAAAAAACCTAGAGGTGTAAGTATAGAGTTAAAATAACCTAGTGGTGTAAGCAGAGCCGGCGTTAGGGGGTGGCGAACGGGGCGGTCGCCATAGGCCCCGCGCTTGAAGGGGCCCCGCGCTTCAGCAATGTCATTGTTGTCTGAATTACTTCGTAAACTTAAAAAAAGTGTTGCTGAATTCAATTGGGAAAAACTAAATGGTCGAATGCCGACGTTGTTGATTGTTATAACTGAGGCCACGGTCGATGTTGGTGAGTCCCCCTGAACTGGGACAGGCCGTAATTCGATACAAAAATAGTGTCACACCTCCCCTTTGTGTAGGGTACGATCGCCTGGCATTTGACCTGAGCTGACAGGAGATGGCGGTCGAGAATTAGCCCACGACGTAAAGAGATACCCTATTGTATGCGGACCGATGAAGACGTCCTTTTAGTGAGCAGACGGGATGTCTGTAGTAGACAGTTAGTGACCTGATGAACTCTAGTCCTGATTTTCTTGTTGTAGATGTCGTATAAAGTCGTATATGTACAGTGTTTCTTCCAGACTTTTTTTCTCCGGGGGAAAGGGGCACTTGAAATTTTCGGGAAATTATATAAATTTCATTTCGTTTTCGGGGGGGGGGGGGGGGGGGGGGGGCTTGTCTTCCCCCCCCCCTCCCCCGAAGAGATGCCTGGAAGAAACTCTATATGTAGGCCGGTATAACAAAATTAACATTCACTTGCGTGCAGAGGGGTGGGAGGAGGGCGACGAGGGGGGGGGGGCGCCTTAGGATCTATATCAGGCGGCATTAAACAGAGTGATTTATTATTATTTTTTGGAAGAAAGTTAAAACTGTTGTTATGTTGTGTCACCTTAAGGATTCATCCGTTCAATAATTAAAACAATAATGTTTTTGGTTTTAAAATATTGTATGAATTCTAAACAAATTTTGAAGTCTATACTGTTTTTGATACATCAGGCCGATTTCGCTGTATTGTAAACTTTATTTTCCTAATTATTCGGCACGTGATTAAATTTTCTTAAGTGATTTGGTATGAATTACATAACTGTCAAAAGTGATTTAAAATCTCAGCAAAGAAAAAAAAACTACGTACATTGGGTTAATACATGGGAGAGATAAAAATCTGTTATTATAGTGGAAAGTTTGACATTAGCTTATAAACTCCAAAACATTTGTGTTATTATGTGTACATCACATTATATAGGCCTTTATACATATATATATATATATATATATATATATATATATATATATATATATATATATATAATGGAAAGGCCCCGCGCGGATGGTTGGCACTAGGCCCTGCGTATTCCTAACGCCGGCTCTGGGTGTAAGTATAGAGTTAACAAACCTAGTGATGTAAGTATAGAGTAAGACAATCTAGATGTGTAAGTATAGAGTTAAAAAACCTAGATGTGTAAGTATAGAGTTTAAAAAAACCTAGAGGTGTAAGTATAGAGTTTAAAAAACCTAGATATGTAAGTATAGAGTTAAAAAACCTAGAGGGGTAAGTATAGAGTTAACAAACCTTGTAATGTAAGTGTAGAGTAAGACAATCTAGATGTGTAAGTATAGACATGGTAATTAAAAGTCTACAAAAAGTACACATTTGTGGTCTATTTCTGGTCAATGCCAGCATTTGTATGCACCATGTTTTTATGAATGACCTGATCAAAAGGTCAAGGTTGCTACATTACTATGGCTACATGATACATGATGTTAAAAAGTTGATTTCATGGAGGTAAGAATTTCAATAATGTTGGACTCCTGTTTAAGAGTTTCAGATACTAAGATGACAGATAAAATACAAAAACATAACTATAACCACAGATGACTGATACAAGACAAAAACATACCGAAACTATAACTACATATGACTGACACAATACAAAAACACACTTATACTATAACTACATATGACTGATACAATACAAAAACATACCTAAACTAAAACTACATATGACTGATACAAGACAAAAACATACCTATAACTATATAAGACTGTCACAATACAAAAACATACCTATGACTACATATGACTGATACAATACAAAAACATACCTATAACTACATATGACTGATACAATACAAAAACATACCTATAACCACAGATGACTGATACAATACAAAAACATACCTAAACTAAAACTGCATATGACTGATACAATACAAAAACATACCTATAACCACAGATGACTGATACAATGCAAAAACATACCTAAACTACATATAACATCAGACGACTGATACAAGACAAAAACCTACCTATAACTCTCAGCCTCCCCATTCTCCTCCTCATCAGTGACAATTATAAAAGTCTTGACGACCTCCTTGTTCTTGTAGAATGGCAAAAGGGAGGCGGCAGGGGCTGTCCCTCCACCAGCTTTGGTGGTCACAGCTAATTTCAGCATCTGGATGGTGGATGATTGAGTGATATTGGTGGATGATTGAGTGAAATAGATATATTAAAGCTTTGGTGGTCACAGCTAATTTCAGCATCTGTATGGTGGATGATTGAGTGAAATAGATGTATTGATGATTGAGTGAAACATGTATTAGTGGGTGATTGAGGGAAATAGATATATTGGTGGATGCTTGAGTGAAATAAATATACTGGTGGATGAGTGAGTGAAATAGATATAATATTAAGGATTCTGCAAATTTGATTGCTAAACACTTGACAGTAATGTAAAGTATAAGTAAAGTACTATTTTGAATCTTATGGTCAATGGGGGCAGGTGAAGTACAATTCACATGTTTTGATGACCTAGGCTTACGACTGGATAGTGTGGTCAGCACTATGCCCAGCCACCTTTACTTTCCCTAGTATGAGGCATGTACTTATCAATCACAAACTTATAAACAAACGCACAAATAAACTAAGATCAATTTATCATAATAGAACACCCACTTATAAACAAACCCATATCAACAAACACCATATATCTATTACCAACCTCTTCCACTGTTTTGGGTAAGAATGGAGCATCTCTAGTCTCAGTGTCAAAGAAGACTAACTTGGCAGAGCAGATGGCAGTGAGAAGACTGGCAATGATGGTGCTAGTTTTTATAGCCACCTCCATGGAGCCTGATGCATCACCTATTACAACTATTGGTGATTCTAGACTGAGCCTGTGGAGGAATTATTGCATAATAATTTCAAATGTTGAAATGGAAAATATGAATCTTTTAAGTTATAAAAAATGAAAGCTTTATATAAAAGAAATTATCTTAATTATTTATAATATTTTATATGAAAAAGTTTTAATTAATCAAGTAATCTAACTCATTATGTTTCCAATGAGAAAGTTATTTTTGAAACAAAACTTTAAAAATCACACACACACACAAAAAGAAATATCCTTTGAAAAGTAACTTCAACCATCCCTTTTTACTAAAATTGATTTAATAAGGTTATAATTAAACAACTTTCTATGAAAATTTTTTCAAAGGAATCGAAAAACTAACTTTCGAAAGCATGCCATTAGCAAAAATTGACATTAAATAAAAAAAATAAAAAAATCTTATAGGTCTATAGAAAATTTTAGTGAATGCTAGTGAAAGGAAAAACTGTTTTAAAAAAGTAGGTTTGCTGATATTGGCAGTACATTTATTTTAAATTAAAATGTCAGTAAAAACCTTACATAAAAACACAAATTTCAAACAAATGGTAGTAAAGACTAAAAAGAAAATTAGCATTTACCTGATTGAGGTCAAGCGTGGCTCGGCAACTTCAATCAACTTTGTAAAAAAGTTCACCTCCCCCTCAGGCTCACCTTCATACACAACATCAGCAACAACAGCATCCCATGCTCTTTGGTTTAAATTAGGGTGACGAAGCAGAAAGATGGTTAGCAGTCGCTCTAGCAGCTTTCCATTAGGAAGAGAAACCTGTGCCCCATCATTTAATCTGGATAAAATTTCCTGGTCAGTGCCTGGGCATGATAGGTCTTCATAGTACCTGTTGCATGAGTAATTTTATGTTCTTGATGAGCTTGGCAAAAAAAAATATGTTTGAATGTATATAGGGTTATTTTTAAATTGTTCATTTTCACGCATTACAAAAGGTAATTACTAAAATGATGTTATAAAGTAGTACGTTTTGGGAATATGAAATCGTTACTGCTCTAAGCACAATCCAAGTGAGCATTGCACTGTGGAAAATTATTACAAGGAACGAATTCAGTTTGGAAGTACCTTGCTAATAATGGTAGTGTTTTAAACATTTTTAGCATTTTTTTAGTTTAAGAACTTTAAAATGTCCTATTATCCTCCTAGAATTTAGCCACAAAAGTCAGAGCTCTATCAATTATAGATTACTTCTGAGCATTACTATAACAATCATATAATTTTAGTACATGTAGAAACTACCATAAATATACACTACAACTTTGTAAAACAGAACAATCACATTGTGATGGTATAGGCATGAACACAAGTAAATTAAAAGAACTATAAATTCTAATAATAAAAACTTCTCACTTAAAATAATTTAACAAAATAAAATTTTTTGTTTCCATAATCAAAATTAAACTAATTAACATTAGTCAATTTAAATCTGACAGAGGTTATATCAAATACGACTTTTTAAAACTTGTCACCATGGGCAAAACATTTTGTGAATGGCCTATATGGTGCATAACGTGTTAACACGTGTAATACTTAATTGTGTTGGAGAAAATCATTACCACCACTACAATTAAGAACCAAGAAGAAGAAGAAAGGTAAGAAATTTACCAAAGAACTGTGTCCAACTTGGTCTCATATTTTGCGATTCTCTGCTTTGACTCGGGGGTGAGGTCATCTTTAAACTGTTTAATCACACTGTATGGAATATCATGCTGCTTGACCAGGTCATTCACACTTTCTGACTTGAGATCTTGAATATGGCTGACAAGAGAGCCCTCTGGTGGGGGACCAGTACCGAAGCAGTACGGCAGGAACCAGGGCGCAGATGGGAAATCCTGTAAACGACCAAAGATAGTTTTAACTAAAGCCATTGCTTAGTCTATATCTAATTTAGAAAATTAAGGTAATAACTTTAAATAATACAAATTTTTCGTTTGTAATAAACAGCAGGTAGGATAAAATTGAAAAAATGTCCCAGGACAGAAGATAAGAAATCTTAGGTTGAAACCCCATATCCAGTAGGGATTATGGGCAGTGAATAAATTACTTGATAAACAATTTTTTTTAACCTCTCAGTTTTTAAGAAAATAGTTCCAAGTTGTCCTCCATGCTTACAGTTAATAACTATTTATATGCCACTTTTTTCAACATGGACTATGAGCTGTTAATCTACAGATATATATCTGAGAGCTAGGCTGATAGTCTAAGATGTGCCATTAGTTTTAAAAGAGTCCAACTAGCTGCGACATGAAATGTGATTACTGACATTGTAAAAGCAGGGATGTGACCAGACCATAAAAAAATATGTGTTATATATTCTTTTAATCACAGTTAAATCAGTCTCACGCCGTTACTGTACTAATTAATTGTTTAATGTAGCAAATATTTTAAATACATGAAGTTTATGAAGTAAGAAGCTGACACAAACCTTTTCTGGATTCAGATGACAAATATCGGCTAGTTTTTTCCATGGTTCTTTGGGAAAATGAATAGCAAAAAACTCTAAGTCTTCTAATGAGAATTCTCTCACCCACTTGGCTACATTTTTGCACACAGCACCACTTGCAGATCCAACCTGAAGGCACAAAAACAATTTATTTTTCAATAGTTAACAACTGTAATAAACAGGCTAAATTCCATTTTTAAATTTATCAATATCTTTGTTAAATTTTGTTCCCCATTACTTTTATGAAAAATAACAATATTTTGAGTTTAGCAAGATCAAAAACTACATGGGCCTATAAATATATGGGCCTTCAAAATAATTTTTTCTGAAGATGAAAAGTTCTATCCCACAGCAATCATCAATCATAGAAATCAACCCTAACTTTGCAAGTTGTAAACTTAACCAAACAAGACAAAAATATGAGTGATTTAGACATTAGGAAAAGTTCTTACAGGGGGCTTTAACCTGTTCAGGTTGTCAATGTCTGACTTGAGTTTACCCAGCTTTGTAGGTTTAACTTTGGTTGCCGACAACTGAAGACTTTTGAGCCTTTTTTCCAGCACACGCACTTGACGACCAGCATCCAGCATATTCAGAGATCGCAGAACCTCGACTAGGCCAAACTGGGACCTAAAAGTGAGAAAGGCTGAGGCCATCTCTTTATCTCCTCTTGCCCATGCCATAGCAAGTGCTTTAATGCAAGCATCTGTAAAAGAAAAAAAATAGATTATAAACAGTTTACATTATATGTATTTCCTTAGGCGCCTTAGCATTTGTCAACCTTCAGTCTTATATTTATCAATTTAAAATTAATATTTCAACATTTGGTTATGTACAAATATAAAAGAACTAGATTTTCTACATACTTTGTGTCACCTGAATCTTGTTTTTAACAAGCAGGGCAAGAGTTGTTGCGTAGCGGGTTCGGTTTGCTTCCTGTGCTTTGTAATGTTGGTCAGTGGATGCTGTTGTGGTGAAAAATAATTTTGGATCCTCGTCAATATTATACTCGATTTTTTTATCCGTCTGGCCATCGTTTTGATTCGTTTGTCGCGAACCGGAGAATCTACCCCTTCTTCTTGATGCAGACCGTCCTCTCGACCCCCCTCTTCCTCGAGATCCTCCTCTTCCACGAGAACCTCTTCCTCTGCCTCTACCATTGCCTCTTCCTCTATTGCTTCTACCTCGGCCTCGTCCACGCATGATATATTATTTTAGTAATCGAACTAAAGTTTGTACACGTAACGAGGTGTCTTATGTGGTAGATGGAGCATACTATTTTATCTAAGCAGGGTTTGTGGTTTTTATAAGTGCACGTGGAATGCATATTTATTTATAGAATCTTGTTAATGAAGCCTGATTGTAACCGCACGCAATACCTACAGCCGATCAACACAGAAAATAAACAACCCACTTAAACATACGCACAGAATAGAGTGCCCATATTTAAAAACAAATCATCATGATACACGTATCTATTATTAGTTCTATATTTCATATTAATTATTGTGTATTTATATTATAAAATAAAAATTAATAATACTGAATTATTGTTGTTAAGATCTTATTTAAAGATTGTTCAGAAAATGCGCATTGATACCGGTACTAATGACAAGCTTAGTAATCCATTGATGACGATAGTAGTTGCAATAAGTTAGAATCCAAGACGGACCAAGAGCCGTCAGACTTTCGTTTTTATGTGGGAGGGTTAACCATGTAACAAGCAAAAAGTATTATTTTCAGTGTGGAAAGGCAGGGACCGAAGAAAAAAAAACCCACACAGTTCATCGGATAAAAAAAAAGTATAACAAACTCGTGGACTAAACTAAGACGTAGATCTTATATAGTAGTTTTTGAGAACAAGTCTTAAAACGAAAATGTCGAAAATTGCACCATTCATTACCCACCATAATATAACTTAACAGCCTAGATCTATATGATTTCCCGAGACTATGGAGAACCCTCTTCTCCCGGGACCACAATAATAGGCCTACTTTATCATTTGCTAAATTGTACCATGCGGGGCGGTGGTGTACGTAGAGCGATGTTTCATAGGCCTATATTGCAGTGTTTAAAAAAATTTATGTTTAAATATGAGGTTAATGTTCTAATAAAATGTTCTATAATACGTTATTTGTGTGGTGTGTCATAATGTTCCATTTTAAAGTTATAGCTATCAAATATTACACAGGATTTTATTTTTTCATTTTTATACTTTTATTTTTTCAGGGTGGGTGGGGGGGGGGGGTTGGGGAGGAGGCAGTGGTTCTTTTTTCTCCGGGGGGGGGGGGGGGGCACTTGATATTTCCGGGGGGGGGGGGGTTGGTCAACATTTTCCGGGGGGGGGGGGAGGGGGGACACTGGTAAAAGTATGTTTTCTATATAAATTCCATTTCGTTCGGTGGGGGGGGGGGGGGGAAAGGGCGGTAGACTTTCTTCGGAGAGGCTCCGCCCCCCCCCCAAGAGATGCCTGGAAGAAACTCTGGGGGGGGGGGGGGTCACTCATGGTCAGCACAAGTTCTAGGTGCTTCTGCCATCGCAGAAATTGTTGTAAAATAATATATTCAAACAGTGGCGTAGCGAGGTCGGGTGTCACCCGGTGCGGCACTTAATGGTGTCACCCCCCCAGAGGCGTTGCGACCCTTCCTGGGGACAAACTTTCAAGTTTTCGATTTGCACCCCCCCCCTCAAACTTTCGATTTGCACCCCCCCCCCTCAAGTTTTCGATTTGCACCCCCCCCCCTCAAACTTTCAATTTGCACCCCCCCCCTCAAGTTTTTCTCTATATATTTTGCTATTTTTTGCCTTGGTGTCACCCCCCTAAATGGTGTCACCCGGTGCGGTCCGCACCCCCCGCCCCCCCCCTCGCTACGCCCCTGTATTCAAATGACAAATCATCTATCATTCCCCCACCCCTTATAGTGATATAGATCTATGTACAATGTAAGCCTCGGCATACACGATCCCGACGGTTTTTAATTTTTAGCAGACTTGACCAGCTTTTTAAACGACCTAGACCTTGTTTCAGGGTAACCTATGGTAAACAAACAAATGGTTCGGTGTAGGAAACCCGGATAGGACTAAGGGTAGAGGTTATGCCTAATAACACTAGTTAATGAATATAAGTACATATCGATAGCAACACACCACAGTTCCAGATTATGTCTTTTAAACAAAGAACATATAAAATAATTTAAGCTCAGATATTTATTCAGTTGTGAATGGCAATAAAGTTTAAAATTGCATCAATTTGGCTATTTTATTTATGACCTAAAGTAACGAATGGTATCTGGCAATAAATAAAGTAGACTCAGTAAATTTAGAATAAACGTCATATCACTTCCGCATCGTCATTCAGCTGATAGAGTAATTTTTCTAAACATTTTTCTTATCTTATCTAGATTTGTACCACTTACTGAGCTGTGGAAATGTCTCCACCCAAGGTATCATTGTCAAATAAGGAATCTCAGAAGCCTATCGTGACAGAAGAGGTAATGCAGTACTCACGATTGTTAGTTATAGTTTCTCAGTTTCTTACTGTAGTCAGTAGTCTTGAGTAGTGTAACTCAGTCGTCTCAGTGAGTGACGTGACAGTGTAACTTGCTTTATGCCCTATACTTTTATATTTATATTTATATTATTAACAAACAGGTGACCGTACCACTCTTTAACTGTACTGACTGAAGTATACTGTTACTGCACAGTGTGACTAACAGCTGTATAAGTATAATACTTTAATAGTGTATAACTGTACTGTACTGTAGTGATATTGATGAAAATATCTAAATTATCTATTTATTTTAATTTTATTCACTATTTAGTTTAGGCCTACCGAAAAGTATCAAAAATCCACTTTTCAATACTCAATAGTGAGTCTAGTGAACAAAGACAATTCATCAATTTAGCATTAAAATATTTAATATATTTACTTTTTGTCCAAAGCCATTAGGCCTGCCCTAATATTTATATAATATGTATTAAAAATTTTAAAATTAATTTAAATTACACTTGTAAAGTGTGATAAACAGTTAGTAAGGAGGGAGTGTGGCACTTTGCATTTTGAACTTTATATTGTTGTGTTTTATGACAATATTTGAATATTTGTACACAAGTAGCGTATTGTGCTTTTTAAATTGACAGCGGGTAAGTATACCAAGTTAAAAAAAACTGTAATCTAAGCCTAATAAACTTTCTGTTTACAAAATAATACTCCTGATCATCAATGAGGAAAGCGTAAAAAAGGATTTAATTTTTAGGTAACCACAACATCATGCCATATAAAAAATAGTCATAAATCTAGCCAAATAATTGGATCTTGGAGTGGTACAGATTTTCCTTTGCTTTGTTTTCAGCAATAGGATGTTAATAAAATGACAATATTGAGGAGTGATATCTTGCAAATGCCACATTACTTAAAGCAAATAAATAATTACCAGTTAATTGGTGTGTGAATAAAATAAAGGCTTTTAAGCATGAAATCCACATATGCTCGCTTAAAAAGGCAGTGGCGTTTCTGTTATAAGATTTGAACACAAAAATACAGGTGCTGCTTTCACTAAAGTGTTGCTTGCAAGAAGTGAGATCAAAATTCTTAATTAACAGGCTCAAATAGAAATGGGTAGTTCCAGTTACTAAAATCGACAATGGCTTTAAAATCATTAGTTTTATACCTCTACAACATAAAAAAAAGGACCAGGCATATCTAAAACTGGATGTACAATGTACTCATATTTAATATTTGTTATTAATGCTAAGTGAAAATGGGCTTAACCTTCTCGAGCAGATCAGGCACCAGTTTTATAGCCAATCAGACAGAGTGGCTGATCTATCAGATGGGTGTCAGCCGCGATATTAGAAGCCACACTATTGGCTTTCTTGTATTGTATCAGCCAATCAGATTGCTTCAAACTATTTTAGTTCATTCTATCACTTCAATTATGGCTTCCATCGAAAATGTCTTTTATAAAATTTACTGTTTAGTCATATTTTTTTCAGGCATAAATTACACAAATCAGAAAGCTCACTTATATAATATATATGTTGAGAATATATTAGATTTATAAAAATCATATTAGCTCATTCAATTTCTTAAAATATAATATGTATTTATATGGAAAATGTTTTTGTGATACAAAAGTATCAAAAAGTGGGCTCCTTCTTCTTGGCACCAGCTCTCCAATAACGCTATGTCTTAAGAGGGTTAATGATATCTTAATCTTACCCAAATGTTTATACCAGTGTTATCAAGTGTGAGAGCTTTGAATATACATGCTTTCTTGGTGGGGGTGTCCCACATACAATTTGTACTTTATCTTTTTGTGTTTTTATATGACTATATTTGTTGACTTCTTCAAGGTCCTTCCTGAAAAAGGAGATGGAGTAGAGTTTCCTGCAGTCATTACTTTTGAAACTGAACGCCGTGCCAGAAATCTTCGTATGCTGCACAAGCAACGCAAATGTCGTCGCATTGTCTGTGGGGTCACTCTGGTGATTATTGTGGCCGTTGCTGCCCTTGCTACCATGGCACTTGTGCTTCATTTCCGCCGCCATCATCGCAAGGTAAGACATAGTTTTAGTGCTTAGTAACGTAACTATGCAGTCTTCTTTAACAAGAATAAATCTTATAAGAATATTAACATAATAAATTGCCATTTTACAAGTAATGTAATTATAGATAAAGACTATGTGATTAATTTTCTAATAAAGAGCCTACATTTCCCACAGGCTTGGGAATGCCGATCTAATGGTCTCCCAGTCAGTGTCAGAGTGGATCATGAAAACCAGCTGATCTACGCCAAGCATGACCATGATCAAAACTCCCAGACCACTGCTATGGAAATTCTCCATGAGTACGACAGAGTATGTATTTCTGCTACTTATTTGATGTTTGTTTACAACTTGTTATATCTACAATATTCAGTGCTTGATGTTTGTTGACACCTTCTTTAAAACTACAATATTCAGTGCTTGATGTACTTATTTGATGTTTGTTTACACCTTCTAAGTTCTTTAAAACTACAATATTCAATGCTTGATGTACTTATTGATGATTGTTTACACCTTCTAAGTTCTTTAAAACTACAATATTCAATGCTTGATGTACTTATTTGATGATTGTTTACACCTTCTAAGTTCTTTAAAACTACAATATTCAATGCTTGATGTACTTATTTGATGATTGTTTTACACCTTCTAAGTTCTTTAAAACTACAATATTCAATGCTTGATGTACTTATTTGATGATTGTTTACACCTTCTAAGTTCTTTAAAACTACAATATTCAATGCTTGATGTACTTATTTGATGATTGTTTACACCTTCTAAGTTCTTTAAAACTACAATATTCAATGCTTGATGTACTTATTTGATGTTTGTTTACACCTTTTTTAAAACTACAATATTCAATGCTTGATGTACTTATTTGATGATTGTTTACACCTTCTTTAAAACTACAATATTCAATGCTTGATGTACTTATTTGATGTTTGTTTACACCTTCTTTAAAACTACAATATTCAATGCTTGATGTACTTATTTGATGATTGTTTACACCTTCTTTAAAACTACAATATTCAATGCTTGATGTACTTATTTGATGATTGTTTACACCTTCTTTATAACTACAATATTCAATGCTTGATGTACTTATTTGATGTTTGTTTACACCTTCTTTATAACTACAATATTCAGTGCTTGATGTACTTATTTGATGTTTGTTTACACCTTCTTTATAACTACAATATTCAATGCTTGATGTACTTATTTGGGGAACAGGGCATTTCCCCCCTGTCAATTACCCCCCGGATAGTTCCCCCCCGACATTACCCCCAGAGTAATTACCCCCCTGTCAATTACCCCCCGCCCAGTAGGACATTAACCCCCCCCCCCCCCCCCCCCGGACAGGGTTAGAGTTAGGGTTAGGGTTAGGTTTTAGGGTTAGGGCTAGGGTTAGGGTTAGGGTTAAGATTAGAGTTAGGGTTTGGGTTAGGGCTAGGGTTAGGGTTAAGATTAGGGTTAGAGTTAGAGCTAGGGTTAGGGTTAGAGCTAGTTTTAGGGTTAGGGTTGTGTCTAGCTTTGGTTTTGGTTTTGTATGAAGTTTTAGGCTAAGGTTGATACTTATGTTTTGGTCTTTTTCTTAAGGTTTGGATTAAAGTAGTAGGCCTATATAGGGATAAAATTCTAGTTAGAGTTAGGATTTTAACTTGAGGGGGGGGGGTAATTCCCCGGGGGGGGGGTAATTGACAGGGGGGTAATTGCTCCGGGAGGTAATTGCTCCGGGGGGTAAATACAGGGGGGAAATGTCCGGGGGGAAATATCCAGGGGGGTAATGTCCTGTAGCCACTTATTTGATGTTTGTTTACACCTTCTTTAAAACTACAATATTCAATGCTTGATGTACTTATTTGATGTTTGTTTACACCTTCTTTAAAACTACAATATTCTGTGCTTGATGTACTTATTTGATATTTGTTTACACCTTTAAAACTACAATATTCAATGCTTGGTGTACTTATTTGATGTTTGTTTACACCTTTAAAACTACAATATTCAATGCTTGATGTACTTATTTGATATTTGTTTACACCTTTAAAACTACAATATTCAATGCTTGATGTACTTATTTGATATTTGTTTACACCTTCTTTAAAACTACAATATTCAATGCTTGATGTACTTATTTGATGTTTGTTTACACCTTCTTTAAAACTACAATATTCTGTGCTTGATGTACTTATTTGATATTTGTTTACACCTTTAAAACTACAATATTCAATGCTTGGTGTACTTATTTGATGTTTGTTTACACCTTTAAAACTACAATATTCAATGCTTGATGTACTTATTTGATATTTGTTTACACCTTTAAAACTACAATATTCAATGCTTGATGTACTTATTTGATATTTGTTTACACCTTTAAAACTACAATATTCAATGCTTGATGTACTTATTTGATGTTTGTTTACACCTTCTTTAAAACTACAATATTCAATGCATGATGTATATATTTGATATTTGTTTACACCTTCTTTATAATTACAATATTCAATGCTTGATGTACTTATTTGATATTTGTTTACACCTGCTCGATCTACTATTTGATGATTGTTTATTTTACCAGGGGCTGGTGGCTTACAAAGATGTGGACAACAGCACTTGCTACATTGATCGTCTGGACGAAACTTTTGAAGATGGTTATGAACGCTGGCAAGCATATGAAGTAATAAAATTAATTTGATTTTGTAAATATTTATCTTAAATTAAACTATTGTTGTTGTTACAATTTTTAAAAAGTACTTATTTAAGTTGGTTTAGTTTACATTTATAGCAGCAATGAAGTTAACATGTTACTTTTTATAGTTTTGTTCTGTTGCTTGTGTTTGACTTATCACTTAGTTTTTACAATCATCATTTGCAAGAAGCTAAGCAAGAAGCTGGGAAAATTTAACCGTGATCTGTAAAATGTGTATAAGTTACACATCTTCCCCCTTGATCCGATTGTATAGATGTTTTTATTTTCTATATAGAAAACATCAGTTTGATATAACTGCTTCTTAGACTGGACCTTAATTAATGGTACTGTTTTATTTTAGGCTGTTGAAAACACAGATAAAAAGGTCCTGCAAGTTCTCCAGCCCATCGAGATAGAGGTGGTGGAGCACATTACTGACATCCACATCTACTCTCACTGTGAGAAAGCCAATTCTTTCTGGGTGAAAGAGATTGAAATCACTGGTAAGTTTTATCATTTCAATGTAATCTGTGTTCATAGGAGATCTTTATCCAGTACATCAACAGTTTTAGAAATGCTTTTACTTACAGTGGTTCTATCCATATGTTAATGAAAAGGTATATAATTGTGACATTCAATTATAATGCCTGATTAAGTAGGGATCACTTGATGCCCATGCTGCAGGAAAACATGTTTTTTTAATTCTTGGCTCACAATGGAAATTGTTGTGACTAACAGAATGATCAAACCATTCATCAAGACTATAGGTGGACTCAGCAAAGTTGCTATGGTTACTTAAATTCCTCAGGTTCATCCTTGTGCTCTCATGGTCTACAACAGAAATACTTTTTAAACCATCTGCTACATTATTACATTCTGCCAAGTGACTTAAGGAACTTGACTTTAAAAATGTCATACTAAGATTTCTAAATTGCTAAAGTGTTTACGTTTGTGTCTTCCACAGAGGTGACCAAAGAGATGAATGTTTTCTACATTTAAATTATCCCTGCAGCTGTCCCTAGCTCATGGCCAGATGTTTTTCAAATTGTTTCTAAATTGACCACCTCTTGTTTGCAAGTTTTTCATGTTCAATATGTACTAACACCAATAAATATATAGTCTAAAGATATTCTTATACAATTATAGAAGAATTCTACCACATTGTAGTTTGTATCAAGATGTAATTAATGAAGTTTCCATTTGCAAACTTGAAATATGTGGGAGCTCTGGGGCAGCCTTGGATATTTTTTGTTAATATTTTTTCTCTCTAACTTTAAATTTGTTTTGTCCATTTATATATACATTTTTCAACATTTTTTTTATAACAACAAAGTATCCCACCCCGCACTAAATAAAGTGTATAAAGCATAGTTATTCTTTGTTTAAAGCCTTATGATCATTGAGGATTGCATATAGTTTTTCAATTTGGTTTTAGCAGTCCAGATTTATAAAAAAATCTGTTAAAATTAAAGATAAAAATAAATGCAAAATTAGTTTTAATACATTGACCATTAATAAATATAAAAGATTAATATTATACTAATCCAGTTTATTTTGTCTATTCATTTTTAGTTAATCATTATTGAATGTTTTAAAAGTAGATGTATACAAACTCTGCAAATTTGCATGTTAAAGCCAATTGAATTTTTTTTTGGTTAATGAATCTTCATTTATGTACTTAATTCACACAATATTCCAGGTTTGAATTCATGTACACTTTACATAAAAATTAAATCAAATTTTTTTTAAGCATATTTTTTTTTGCCAATAGTTAAAACATAATGTTTGTGTAATGTCAATTATTGTTCTGGTTATACATATTAAAAATCTCATGTGATATTTTACTTTACCAAAACTTTCAAAACAAACTAAATGATCTGTTAATGTTAAACAGCTAATTAATGTTTATCCAGTTAATTTTGATATTAAAATAGATTTACTGATTACAACTTGATCACTTCTGTTTGATTTATAATTAGCTAAATGGAACAAATTGTGCTTTTGTTGATTATTGTAACAAATAAGTGTCACTTAAACAGATGTTTATTTTTAGAAAAGTGTTTGCAACCAATTGCTCTGTTTCTCTTTGAAACTTGGCAATTCTGGTATAAGTGTAATTAAAAAACAAGAAACTAAGCTGTTGTTTTTAGTAAATGTTTGCTGATACATTCCAACCACTGGGGTTATTTGAAATTTATTTCTATACAGTATTTGAAATTTTATTTTGGTCTATGCAAAATAAAAATAGATATCATTTGACTATAGATGTTTGTTTATTTGAAAATTTTGAGGTGTACTTTTTGATTGAACTTTAACTTCGTTTGATTCCAAGTCTGAATCTGACGGTCCATGAGACAGATGAAGTAGAGTTCAATTGTTTTTGTGACCTTGGCATAAGGATAGTGTGGTCAGCTGTATGCCCATTTGTCTTTAACTTTCCCTATCATGTCAGGTACCTATGACTTGAGTGGACTCAGGGTTGTCTTACAGGTTCAAATCCAAGACCTGGACACTTTTGGGTTAGCATTTGTGCACCCACCTGTCCAACCACGCCTTCCCACTTGCATCTTAAGATTTAGTTGAAAATAAATTTAAAATTTATAATTTCCTTAGTCTGAATAGTCATTGTTGATTGATTTTCCTCACTGCCAATGAACATTTAATAAGCCACACAAAAACAAAACCCTGATTGTTCTGTTAGTTTTATTTGCGAATTCTTTCTACAATGTATACAGGATCCAATTAGTTAAAAAGAAACAGTATTGCCCTCTTGCTAGTGTGACATAGAGCAAAATTACAAAGGTACAAAAGACCCAATGGAGAAGTCACAAAGCAAGCAGACACAGAGTATAAAAATAGGATACCAGCTACATTTCATCTTGCTCCATTCAATAAAACTAGGCTTTCCGTTTATTGATCAGTTCAGAAAAAAAAAAATCAGTGGACCCTTGCTTACCAAATTTTTTATATTTTTGAATAAAGCACTGGGCAACCTAAAGTAGGAATTATAATTAAATTATTAGATGCTGTGTTATCAAAATAAGGGAAAATCAGTTTTTGTCATATTGGGATGGTTAAAATAATTGTGAGTTTTCTTTTTACATATTGATTGAAATATCTAATAATACTTTTTATCAATAGGGTAGCATTTATTGATCAGAAAGCTGCATTGAGATTCAGCCAGTAAGAATTGAAGAAAAAAAAAACAACATTCATAACCTCCAACTTAAGTGATGTTACAGTTCTAGCTACAAACACATTATTAGCAATCAGCATTTATTATAGCTATTAGTTCCTTAAATTCCTTTAAAAGCATTTACACTTATGGTAATAAAAAACAAACGTAGTGCTTTTTAGAAAAAGTATAAAATGAGCAGTCATTTAATCAGCTAGGGCCTACAAACTAACTAGGAAGATATCTTTTCCCCAACTTCAGTAAGCTAACACGCCAAAACATGATTATTTTATTTTTTGATATTTTGGTTCAACACTTTAGGTTTAAAAAAAAACCCAGATTCAGCAAGGGTCTACTCTATGTCAATAAAATGTACCAATATTTGTGTAAAAAAATTCTGCTACCTACTGAGTGTATGCTCCAGCGAGTTATTCAATGAGAGCAAGTGAAAGGGTAACAGTATTTATTGTTTGTGCATGAAGACGGGCAGAAATGTGTCTACATGTCTACAAAAAAAAAAGATAAATAAAATAAACAAATAAGGAATATCAACAAGGGAGGAAGGGGGGACATGGGATCAAAGTTTTCATTGGAAAAAAATTCACCAATTACAAAACATTTGAAACTGGAGGACATCCATATACAAATATCAGTTTAAAAATTCATAGTACTTATAAAAGTTTCACTACTTCTATAGAAATATAAGAAGAAATCATCAATATTAAAACAGATTCAATCATGTATTCTACACAGCCAAATGAGTTTAATGACACTGAACCAGAATGATTATCACAAACTTTTTTGAAAAAATCTCAGGGGTGATTAAGGATGGACAAGTTCTAAGATGGGTTATGAATGAAATATGACAAGAAAGCAAACTAGCAACTTGTGACATGAATATTGGCTATCACCTCCAGCTTACACTCTCAGCAGTGTGACAGTGACAACACACATTTTTGGTCTAATGGTCAAAAACATAGGGGGGATAAACAAGGATGCCAGGAGTAGCACACAGCCACAACTACACTTCAATTAAAGTATCGTTAACAAAAAGTATGCGTGCCACAATAATCTGCAAGTTCATCTTGCTTGACTGGTGTCAAATTAGTCTTGTCATAACAACTAGATAGAAAAAACTTCTGCATGTAACATGACATGCTTGGTCCCACTCCCCCAAATATCATGCTTAAGAAAAATTGGAATTAAGTAGACAGATATATATATATGGAATAAAGCCTGTCAGTAATTTTTATCAAAAATAAAAATTACAACTGACAATAAAACAGAATGAGTTCAAGGAATGTAAACCAAAATTTATTTAGTATTTACTGCTGAATGTACATCAAACAAATAACAAAAAGATGTAAAAATGTTCACTTTTAGTATATCTAGAATAAATTTTTTCATTAACTAAAAATTTTTGGTTTGAAGTAAAGTTCCTAGAAATAATCATGGTATATAATTACAACTCAATAGAACATAAGCTTTAGTTGTCAGCTGCACCAACTTATCTTAGCACTAGATTCAAAACAAAGAGATACTGTTGAGAGCAAACACATCCAATTATTTTAAGTGAAGATAATATCAGCTTTTAATAGCTGGAGGCTACATGGACATATCTTAAGCACTGGAGAACCAAGAGGTACAGCTGAGTGGAGTATTGCACACATCCTCTCAGCATTGTTATCCAGCACCAACTGCTGCAACTCAACTCTACAAAAGGTTATTTAAAACAAATAAAAAATAACGACTGGCGAAGAAAGACTATGTTGGTCCCTCTTTGAGAAGACATTGCACAAAATAGCTGTGATAGGCTGTACACAGTTCACCCATTCAAATGCAAGCTATAAATAGAGGCAAGCCAATTGAGCATTGGGAACTCCATCTCTAACCTTATAATTATAATGAGCATATCTGGATAAACAATCTTAAATAAGGAATACATAATACATCAGCAAGGATTACAGAAACTAATACAATGTTATACTTTATGATTATTATTTACCCTCTAAGTCTGCTTTTAAGAATCCCACAAGAATTTTCTGGCTGTTAAATAAACTGGAACACAAACATGTAAACTGGGTTTTGTCCCACACAGCCAAAGGTAAAACAGAGTTATCACTTCTAGAAATCAGCTCACTGTATGTTGTAAGCCATTTGTCACTGGTAGATAGAGAGAGCTGTATCACACAAGGTTTAACATATCCAAACAGAGGCTGAAATTAATACAAAAAGAGGCTGGTACAGTAACAAAAAAGAAAATCCCAGTAACCAATTTTTTTAAAAAGTGAGGAAAAAAAAAATATGTAAAAGATCAATGTAAATCCACCATCCATTTTCACCTTCACAGCCAAACAGTGTATTTTAAATTTGAGTTGAATGACAAATTCTAGAGAAAACATCAAGATATGTACAGCCATCTCCACAGAAAAAAGAAACTAATTTGCCTGTTTATTTTGTAAAATTAAAAAGAAAAAAAAAACAAACAACAAATACAACTCGAGTCAAACACCTTAATTTTCAATCTTTGAAATAAATAGCTAGAGAAAAAAACAATGGTTGTTTTACATCCACCAGTTTTACTCTGCGTAACACAAATATTAAGATGAGGAATGTCGGAAATGGCCCACTTAACCAGTCATAACCAAATCAAATCTGTATGTACAAATAAATAAAGTTATGTACACCAAGTGATATCTACACAGTTGAACAACATCTGCCATAAACCAACATCAGGAAAGACATTCTTACTTCACACAATGTTCCACTACAAGTGTTTTATTGCACTAACAGAATCAGGGTGTGTACTCACAGTCCCTCATCTTCACACATCTTTATATAGACAAATCTTGGCATTCAAGAAAACAGGTCAGCTTTTTCAAAAAAAATAAAATAAATACAGAGTTGCTTTGAAAACTTTAAAATTAAAAGAGTGCACTGTAAATAAGTTTATATTTTTAAAAATTCTACGGCTGACAAATACTTAATTGAAAAAGAAATATTCAAATGGTTAAGTCCACCATTAGCAAGCTGCTAGCACAGGATCTATATATTTGTCAAGTACAATTTTCTGTTTAGCTTACATTTTGTTAATTTCACAGTTTTAAGCTCACAAACTTTTACAATTCAACACCAATGGAAAAAAATTATGACAAAAAATGATCTACATTCTTTAGTTCTGCAAAATACATAACTACAAGATCATTTAATGCTAAGCAAATATGAAGATCATTTCATTTTATTATAAAACATATATTTATATATATATATTGATTGCATCATTATAGAATATAATATAGGTTCTTCTAGGTATAGGGCATTCCTTTATAGACAAAATTATATTTATAGAATTGATATTCTATGTCAGCATCATTGAACAATCCACATTTCAAGATATACAGTTTGAGAACAATCAACTATTTATCTTATAACACAAGCAAGAAGAAATAAAAAAATATATTTCACAGATCACATATTTAAGATGAGGTTGCCATGACAATGTAGTTTTTTTTTAAATGAATTATATTAATTTGTCATTACCTTAGCTTTAATCTGTAAATTTTTGTTGTTATTTTTTTGAAGGTGCAGAAAAATTGTAATAAAAAGCTATTATGGGATATATCTGGAACTATTATGACAGTGAAAAGTGATGTGACCACCTGTTTAGAGCACAGGTTGTAAAATATTTTAAAATATTATAACCAAAGTAAAACGGGTCAGAGAATTATTGCACTCAATGAACATTTCTTTTTAAAACAAAAGAGAGAAATAAAAACTGTGAAGGACTGTCCAGATTTTTTTTTTAAATGACTAATCTAGAAATATTTTATTGCAAGGTATGGTACTTTAACATTTTTTTTCACTTTATTTAACACTCAAAAATAATAAAATAAAGAAATAAAAATTGATTTGATCAATTCTTGTTTCATTTTTTATTTTGTTTAAAAATGCCATCCGCAATTATGTTGAAAAATGGTAAAGTAACCAACTTTCAAGTAATTTCAAAATTAAATCAAAAGTTTTCTGTAATGGTACTTGATATATGATATTCCTTAGAAACTAAATATAATTATAAAAATGTATTTCCTTAGTGGTGTGGACAGTCAATGTAAAGTAGTACAGAAGAGGAGATGAAATATAGACGCTCATCTAATACAAACTGCACACAAAGGATTAAGATATATAAGATCAGAGGGGGGATTATTTCAGGTGTTGAACGGAAAGAAAAAAAGTTGACATTTTTAATACCAACATTTTTTTTGTTACCTTGCAGGGTAGTTGAAGGCCAATCATGAAAAAAAAAACAAAAACAACCCAAATAGAAAACAACCAATACACATGGTAGTTGTAGGTCAGGGTGATGCAGGGTTGCAATGTTTACACCTTCTTGCATCCAATAAATACTGGTCCACACAATCAGTTAGAGGGCTTGCACTGAGGCACAACAGTATCCTGCCGACCACCAGAGCCAGACTTGCCCATCCTATCAGCAGACCGTCCAAGCTTTGATTATAAACAGCAAGTAGCCTTTCACCTTTGAAAAAGGTTTTTATGTAGTCCAGGGAAAAACATGTTTCCATGATCAAAACTGATACCACTTCTTGTCCTTACACTTGAGCATTACGTTGTGCGCTGCTGATGCAAACTGCTCCGCACTGTTCATCATCTGTGCTGACCTGTCCTCTAGATCACCCAATTTTTCTCCTCTCTCTGATAAGAGCTGCAAGAAATAATACAACTTTGTAAACACTTTAGATGTGATGAAAAATGTACAGAATATGCTAAATTCAAGAATACTAATCTAAATAAACCCTTTGAAAATTTTTAACAAGTCTCTTGAGTAAACCTTCTCTTTAATTAAAAAATATTATTGAACAATCTTCTAAGTTAAAAATATGTAGGGATACAACTCCCTCTGCAATGTTAAAAACATTTAGGATAACACTTTATGTTATGATGCATGTTCTGAGTGTAGATCGGTGCGAGTGAATGTTGGTGCGAAAGGTATGTTGAACTCATGGAATGGAATTTGTGTAGAGACTGGTTGCTAGGAGTTTGGGTGTGAGTTAATTCTTGATCATCAGTGTGAAAGGACATGGGCTAATTTGCATAACTCAAGTTGGGAGATAGATATATGTATATATAAGAATAAAATATTGAACTAGGAATATTGAGTTTGCCTTGAGAGATAGATATATGTATATATAAGAATAAAATATTGAACTAGGAATATTGAGTTTGCCTTATCTCTGAGCGGCACATATTGGACTTATTGGTTCCCAAGGTTAGAATTTCTCTCCCTGGTATTGGAGATGGACTAAATGGTAGTTGGCCGAGTCAAGTGACTCAAACCCTCACTGCACAGCATAAGCGTAACCCTTAACCTGTCTACTAAATATAACTATTTGTTTAGACTGTACTGTGCAACATCTGCAACCAACAAGTATTAAAGGATGAACCTACCAATCTGGTGCGGGTGAATTCACTACTAGATGCACTAGCTTGCTGGGATAGGTGCTGTAGATTGCCAGAGCCTGGTATATGTTTGGCCAGTCCTTTGGAAGCCTTGCCACTAGCTTCACCAACTGAAGAGACCAGGGATATATTGTTACAACAGGAAATAATAGCATGGGATTCAAACAAAATTCTCAGATTTTTAAGCTGGAATATTTTTAATGACTAAACTGAAGACAGCATGGGTTTTTATACAGTTAAAGGTTATTTTTTTAACAGAATCTGAAATATTTTAAATTAAGAGGTCTTCCATAATTGACATCACACATTTATGACAATTTATAATATTACCTATGCAGTGTCAAGGTTAAGTTTATTGCATAGTTTTCTTTACATACAATAAACATTTTTAAACCCTCAAAATTGCCATATGACTGTTACAATTTTGTTTAAAAATTACTTTTGAAAAGTAAAAGTGTGACACCACACTCTATGACCCCCCCCCCCCCCCAACCCTAGGAGTGTAACATCATTGTTGGACTACAACATACAACAATAATCATTTATTTATTTTACATGCTTTATTAACAATATTGTAATTATGGATCAAATTTGGCATTATTAAAGTAAAGCATAACTGTCATTTAGAAACATGTAAACAAACATAGTTTCAAATTTTTAAAACTGATTTCAAAATAGTTTATAGGGCTACTAAAGATTAGTACATTTTACAGGCATTCTTTTAATTTCATTTATGACACGTAATCCAATGAAATGAGTTTCCACAGCCCCAATCTCTGAGAATCTCTGTGAGTGTTATGAAATGTATGTACTTACAAAGCTCCTCCCTGTCAAGGGTTGTAACTCCACCACCAAAAAGTGTCTTTAGGAATCCTTGTTTTGGTGGCTCTGGAGTGTCTTTAGGGAGAAACAGCTCTCCAAGCATTTCTCTAAGGTTGTCACTGTAATATAAACAAGTAATACAGCATTAGCACATTAGGCTGTAACCCTTAATGGAGGTAAAACTCAAATAAAAAAAAAAACTACTGCTATGCAGATTGTTTTTGGGTGGACGAAGGGTATGTTAGCACATCCAGAAAGATTGGCTAACTACTATGAGACCAGTAAAGACCATATACATGCTTTAATAATCAATCACTTTAATTAACTTGTAACAATTAACATTAAAAATTGGAATGAAATACTTACGAAATTTCAGCAGAATAAGTGATTTTCTGTATTTCAGAAGGTGAACAAAGGAACATGGCATGGCCATTATTACTGAAACAAAATGTTCTTGCCACTCTGAAAAATAATGGATGTTTCATTATAACACTATCACAATGAACCAGATCATTGCGTTCATTCATATCACTACATTTCCAAAAATATATTACAAAACAAAAAATCTTTCTTAATCTAGAAATTAAAAATTAAATGAATCATTTACCTGTAATCAGTTAAAGGCAAGAAATCAGCTTTCAATAACATCTTGAGACTGGGCAAACTGAATGCCTTGATGTGACCACTAGCAACATAGCACATAAGACACACACTCTCTAGAATGGGGAAACAAATATAATGAAATTAATGGAAAGAAATTGATCAGTAGGCAACAACATTGCTTTAATATCTACAGTAACATATAATAGATCTAGCGCAAACTCTGGACAAAAGTAAGAGGTTGTCTGACTAAAAGAGCTAACTGTCCAAGGACAGTACATCTCACAGAAAATAAGTGACTGATATGTCCCTGTCATGCATATCTACTGACACTACTAATCTAACCTACTGTTTTTTAAAGATGGCTTACAATATAAAAACCATCTGAAAACAAAAACGACAATTTACTGAAAAGTTACGAGTGCACTGTAAGGTTTTCAGCCAGGATAGCTGACACAGTCTAGACTGCCGGGGATTTTCAATGACGTTAAAGAGAACCTGTGATCAACACAACGGAGATACCACAAGCAATTTACTCTCCCCCATCCCCAGTAATACTAAAACCACAGCAAACTGAGGGTCATGTAAAACTTGTGGGTTAGAGTGTCAGTTTAAAGAAACAAAAACAACAACCGACCAACTTAACATCTGGACCAACTTACCACGCATATTCACAACCTCTGCCCTCACAACAAATGAATTTTCAGAAACTTTTGTCTTGAAAGCACATGTCTGAGATGGCAATGATATTGCCTAGATAAAAGAAAACACTGTGTCAGCTTATCAACTTCATATGCATACTAAGTTCAATCATGTAGCATTAACTAAAGCAGATAAAAATTAACTATTTTAATTATAAAGCTTGAATGGACATTAAAAAAAAAAGATGTGGGAATTTTATTGTAGACGCCTGGAGATAAATTATGACTTCCTTCCATGGTGTCTAGTAGAAAACAGATCTTACCCTTGCTTGTTTTTCTGAGCAGAGGATAGCAAATTGTCTGTCATTGTTCATCTCTGTGGATGCAGTAGGAGAGATCTTTGGTTTAGAGTTACTCACTGACATTTGTCCTGGAGACAAAACAAGCACAGATTTTGTTTGAGTACACTCAGGCTTATGACGTTTTAGGCCTGTACAAAACTAAATGTGTAAGAGATCCCTGATAATACACACTAAATTCCCTGTGTCTGAATTAAAATTTGATTAGATTAAAACAAATAAGTAGAAGACAGTATCTTATTCTATTCAGGGTCCCCACAAAATATTACAAAAATCACATATCTGGGACACACATGTTGTCCCTGAAACTATGGTATCAGGTGGGAAAGTCCAATCTAACTATTGGTTGTGGGGGTTGGGGTGTTCCCCTGTATGTGTGTGTGTGTGTGGGGGGGGGGGGGGGGGGGAGAAAGATGGTCCCTATTTATTTAGTAGGTTCTTACAGTAATTACTATGGCCTGAGGAGGGGGGGTGTGTGAGTTGGTCCCTACTTATTCAGTAGATTCTTATGGTACTTACTACTGGTAGCCTTGTTACTCATTCTGTCAGTAAACTCTCTATTGTCCCTGTTATCTCTCCACTGTTCACTCAAAGCTGGGATCAGACCACCTTTGAAGTCCAAGAAAGACATACACACTATGGCACCTTTCATTCTATACAGGGAACCTGAAAATACACACATACATTCAAGAATACTAGAAACGCCTTATAATGTGTAACACTTTGTCAGTGTAGTTAATTAAGTAATAATGTGTTATAACCTTAGCTTTAACAATTACCAATAAAGCATAGTGTTTAACAGTCTTGATCAATTTTTATTTCAACAAAATAGTAATGAGCCTTGTTTACCAAGTTCAGGAAAATACCGAGATGTTTTTGAAAATACCGAGATGTCTTTATATGGAATTTTCTAACAGAAAAACAACTAAATTGTTAATGAATCTTATATAGGGTTCTTTATTCACAGTTGACTTTTAGAATTGATAAAAAATACACTGTGTATAAAATAGTCACAATGTGTAATAGAAAAACATTTAGTATTAGTAAAACATTTTGTAAATAAAGCACAGGTCAGAGACTCACCACTAGGGGAAACAATGACTGGCTGTGACAGCCGCTGGTCAGGCTGTAGAACCAGGACTATAACAATGACAGAACCCAGGCTTGTGCCCACCCACAGGCACGGAGACGTTTCATTATCTGAAATACAGTATCATTTCTATTAGAACAGTTAAGTGGCACACAGTATGTTCTATTAAAACACAAGTTCATTAAAAAAAAAAAAACAACTTTTAATTATGTGCTATATAAAAAACAAGCCAACTGTACCTACCTTGTTTACGTGTAAAAGAATCAGCAAACACTAAACATTGAATAGCCTCCTTGGTTACGTTGTCTAGGCTAGACATGCTTGAACTACGTGAGCGAGAAAAAGACGCATCTGCCTTGTCTATTGAATTTCATATTAAAAAAAAAATTTGAGTCAGGTATCTCACTTGAAGATAAAGTGTTGATACCTATCATTATTTTATAGTTTTATGCTTTATACAAATTTTTAAAAGTACAACTTATTAATGTGGTAATTAAATCGTATCTAATAAATAAGTAGAAATATTGATAAATTATTCAATTATTTAAAATTAAAAAACAAACATTAAAACTAAGCATTTACAAAGCTGTAGCTGTTATGAGCCAGAGATTAAAAACAAATTTCTCAAATTATAGAGAAATAAATTACATTAAAAATTTAATAAAAAGTTGTTTCTTAAGATAGAAGCATCTTGAGCATAGTCTGTAGAAAATTTGTATTATTTGTAACTAGAACAATAGCGCCATCTCTACCAAATACTAGACATGTTAAGATAAATGTGCCATACAATCCAAGCAAACAATGAGCTAGTGAGTTAAAAAAAATCCAGGTGCCAGTCACTTCAGCAACCACTATAAACAAAATGAGAATAAAAAAAATAAAACAACAGAAAATGAAATAAAATGGTCACAGTAGGCTGGAGCTTGTTTTTTATCAACTTTCAGTCACGTGACTGATCTTTATTTTTATCCCATGTTTTATCATGACTTAGTTTAAATCTGTAGATGACCATAGTAATACTTAATGCATGAATTGAATAGGCTAGGCCTTGTTCTACAATCAAACTCCAGTTACTCTTTCAAATGAGAGAATGTAAAATGTAAATAATCTTGAAGCCATGCAAGCATTCAGTAGTTCAAGGAAAAAATATATTAAAAAAGAGAACAGCATTCCATTCTTGTAGAAGAAAATAAAAAGACAAAATTGTGTTAGATTATAAAGGAAAATGATGAATGATTTTTTTTTTAACTTAACAAAAAATAAACCAAAGCACAGTATGAGAGAGAAAATGAAAAGGCTTTTCCCATTACAAAAAAATAAAATGACAAGAAGAATCTGAACATACTACTGTTACATGATATTATCTGGAATCATTCATTTGAAACACGAGTTTATTTAATCAATCATTAAGATTTTTCATTAACTACTAACACAGTTTTGGTCTTCAGAACAATGTGTTTGGTAAAAATAGACTTTTACTAAATCAATCCAAATGATTAGATTCACCCGATGGAGAAAACACAACACGAAAAGCCACCAAAACACACCAGAGTGTGCTGTGTTAGACTATGGGCAGTGAAATACTTGGTACCAGCAAATCTTAACACAGGCTGATGGTTTGCCCATTCACTGTGCATTACACCACTACACCAACCCACCTGACCTATTATGTGTGCCATTCAAGTTAGACATTTTAAATTTAATTTTAAAAAATGATAACAGAAATTGAAAAATACATTACAAGATTTCATTTTTCTTTTCAGAACAAAAGAAATAAGGATACTGTAATGAAGAATAGTCTAATTTTGCTATTCTAAATTTTCCTGATCTCATTAGTAGTTGAAAAAAAAACAACAACCCAAATTTAATTTCAGTTGAAAGTGCAGATGAAAAGTCAATAAGAAAATGTATGAATGAAGTGTGTAGGCAAATAATAAAAAAATGGACAATTATACTTGAGAAATTGTGAAATGGCGAACTGATAACAAGACTGTAAGCCAACTTAAAAGGTTTGAAATGCTGAAAATATGTCAAAACAAAAGTAGTTTGAGAAACCTAGAAACAAACAGAGGTAGCAGTAAAAAAATAAAAATACAAATATAAACAACAGTGAACTGATAAGTGGCAGTGCTGCTGTGGGTTTATGATCAAATGGGATAAAAGGAACGAACAGGATACAAAAAAAAGAGAAAGAGAGAATGAATGGCCGACAGAACATAGCATAAAGCTGACACTGCACCTCCACTACTGAAGGGCTCGTCCATGGATGCCACACTGTGAACTCTTTGTAATTTGCGGGTGCCTTGGCCCTTGGGACGGCGAGTTTCTGCTGAAAGTTGCTTTCTGGCAATTTTAGTCCCTGGTGTGGTAGGGCTCAGGCAGTCCCCATTTATCTACACAGTCAGCGGACGGGATGAGAAATGAGGTTTCGGGAGGGGAGAAATAAGGAATAGAAAGAAAAATAAATTTCAGACCAATGATGAAAAAAAAAATTGTTCAAAGGCGGAGGTAAATTCATGATGCATCCAGCTGCCTTGTGATGTAAGCAGATCACGTGACCAGCTGTAGAGCTATCAAACAAAAATCAATGCTAAAAAAAAAACAACCAAAAAAACAACTAGAGGCCTGGAATCAACTGAAGAGAAATAGGAAAAATCAGATATACGAAGTGTTAGTATTGTTAGTTACTTAAATAAAAACACAGCATTCAAAACGTCACCTACGGCTGGAACATAGGAAAACTAAAACAGCAGGGAAATTTTTCCTCTGCTAAGTGGCTAGCTACTAGCTGTATACTGAGCTGACTAAAAAGTAAAGCTAGTTTAACGAAACAAAACTCTGGCTATAAAGTGGAGAAACATGGCATGAGTTCAATGAGTTCTTGATGTGATCAGTGCCAGACAACAACACTACTCATGTGGTAAAAATAGCATTCTAAAAATAAACACAAATTGTGATTGGCTAGCTAGCTAACAGTTGCTAAACGAAGGCATCTGGCTAACACTAACACTGGTTGTACTACGCTCTAGCTTTGTATTCCACTGGAGTTAGATCTGACTAGAAAATCATAAGGATGTGCTTTGCTAGTACCAAATCCATGCTAGAGAAAGTTGTTTGTAGTGGCCAAGGCAACAACAACTCAGACATAGAGCAGCATAAACCCCACAACAAATCCAGGACGAGAAGCAAAAAAAAAGTGACTAAGAGTAGAGAAAAAATCTAGCAAAACTACATTGGCTGGGGACCAATGCATGAATGGGAATCAAATTAATTTCTCAGTAAGAGTTATATTTCTCAACTGATGCTATGCCAAACTGGAATACAATGGAACTTGCATAGATCAGAATATCAAAAGAATTATACAATTTCTTTGACTACTGCCATCTTTCAGAATGATGAAAAAAAAAGGGGGAAATTGAAAATTATTTCTGTAAGAAAATTTGGCTGAAGCATTCATGCTTTGGAGCCCATGATGAAACCTGACATCCGCAAACAAGAAAAAGTTTGACAGCCCCTCACCCTGAAAAAGATGTACAAGTATATCAATTGGTGAACAAAAGGAAATCAATTCAATTCATAATCAACAATAAACAGCAGGCAATGATTAACATTGGTGGTGAAAGTTGGAAAGACAACACGAAGATCATGCTTTGGTGCTCCTTCAGTCAATCTTTTTTTTTCATGCTGTTGGGGAAAAAAATATCTGAAAAATTTTGAAGTCATTGAAATAAAAAGCAAATTCTGTGTAAAATAATTGTTACTGGACTTGGTGAAATAAAAGCATGATCACTAAACCAAAGTGAATCTAATCTGAAAAGCAAAGTAAATACAGTCAACATGTAAGTATATGGAGAGATGCAGGCTGTTGCTGTAAATAGAGTCGGGTAAGAGCGCCTAAAGTTATTACCTACCAACATCTCTCCTTGATTGTAGGATATCTGACAGGTATACTTTTCTTATGTTGTGCTTCTTTGCTAGGTCATCAGTCAAATCCAATACTTCAATTTTAATCTTGGCTGGTTTTTCTTGAGATCTCTTGGTGGTGCTGTCTTTTTCTTCCTCCTCAGAAGATTTGCGAGACCCCAGAGATTTGAACTTCAAGCTGACCCTGCTGAAGAAGTTCTTAGCACTACCTGGGCTCTTGACTCCACTGTCTGGACTGTCAGCAAAATCCCCATCTTCCCAGTCTTTCCTGTCCTCTCTGAGAAAAGCTTTCACGTCAAAGTCATCTGTTGCTTCCAAACAATCTGACACGATGGTATCATTTTGATCAGAGCTGTCCCCAGTATCCTGCTTTTCATCGCTTCCCTCTTCATCATCTTTCTTTTTCTTCTTTGGTTTTCTGTGTATTTTCTTCAAGAGCCAGTTTTTTCTGTGATGTCCAGCTGCATGGTTATTTAACTCTGACAACTGCCGGCTGTCAACAGCAGACAAATGGGTCTCTGAGGAAGACTTTCTCAGGATTTCAAACGACTCATTACCCGTAGGATCTTTTAAATACTTGGGATCTGACATGGTTTTCACAGCCGTCTCTTTCCTTAGAGATTCTGTAGATGAGCTAGCAGACTGACACTGGACTGATGGCAAATCACCGGTGCTGACACTCTTTGGTTTGATAGGAACTGGTGGGCACAAGAGTGAAGGGTTCTCAAAGGAAGCAGATTTTTCAGTTTGACAAGTCCTCAATCCTCGCTCACTGATGGCACTGGAAGAGCGGGGCAACAGCAGCAGGGCATTCAGGGTACAAGGCTGGGAGGATAACTCTTTGCTGGGTGATGGGGGTAGATCCAGCGCTGGTTGGTGGACAAGCTGATGCTGTTTGTTTTTGTTTTTCTTTCTGGGGGGCGGCTTTGGAACTTGAGAAGCAGTGCTGTTATCATCATAACACATACTGTTAGGAATGTTTATGGTAAGTTTAGTAGCAGCAACCTGTCTGGGTTGTTGGATGCTAGGAGGTACTGTGCTGGAATTCATGTGGTTTGGCACCGCATCTGGATAGTCTAGCGATTGGGACTTAAGAATGGGAGGATGAACTGATTTACTCTCAGCAGTCTGTGATGGTGATGCTTGACCTATGTCTGGGTTTAGGGACTTTGCTTTTGACAACTGTTGGTGGCTTTTGGGGGATGTGTTTTTCACATAACCAGAGGTAGGAGTGGGCAGTTTGAGGCCTGAGTGTGATGAGACCCCTCTGCCACTTCCAGCAGTTGGGGAGAGGTATTGCCCTGACTGAAACCAATAATGCGCAAAAACAATCAAAATGTATGCTCAACAAAAATGCCTTCTAAAATTCAGCTTTAGTAAAACAAAACAGATTCAGTCAATTTAGCAAGAAAACAAAATCTTGTAATTAAAATGGTTAATTACTGTCAACATGTTAATCTTTATTTCAGTTTTTGAAGCTTTATTTATTCAGTTGTTCTTGTTAAAAACTATTGAATAAACAAAACTATTTCTTTTTTATAGCGCTATGAAGTATTTAATAACTGTTGTTAGTAGTTAAAGAAGTACAACTAGACTAATATGTTATTGTAAAAATAAATCATCACACAACATGTCATCCAATTTCTAACGTAAGTCTTAGGCACACAAATGATAAGAAGTAGTGAGCATTTCTAGAGTGAGCTCTAAGAGCAGCCAAACGACTAGCACTAGAGGAAATATTGTAATAAGCACTGGCTTTAATTCCTTACTGATGCATGCTAGAGAACTGTTGGTACAACAGCTCCTACATATTAGAGGGTAGGGAGTAAAACAAACCTGAAGAACTGCTGAGTGCTTCATGCACACTACACAACTCTACAGCTAGTGATATCTATCAATACATGTTAACATGTTTAAACTATTCATTTCACTCTAGAATTATGCTGCATAAAGAGATGACACAATTAGTAGAGGCAGGTTTTTATTTTTTAAATAAACTGATGGTATGGAGTAGTATTTAACTTATAAATTTAAAAAAAGATTAATTTGGACTCTTCATCACTGAATTAGCTATAATCAGCAAGTGACAAAGTGAACATCTAATCTTGGAGACATATTCCCTCAATTAAACATCTATAAAATTTCCAATTCATAACAAAAAGTTGTGAAAAATACTTGTATCATTTAAATAATAGTAACACAATATATAATGAAATATACTTTTCTTGCAATAGCAAAAAAAAAAATTCAGAATAGAAATGATGCATTAAATAAAGTTAAAAATAAATTCCCAAAATTAACATGAAAAATATATTTTATGAAACAAAAACGATCTTTAAAATCATTGCAATCTATAGATTCGACAGTCTATCTACCTGACATTTGAAAAGTTTTTCCGTCTCATATTTTCAATTAATTAAAACAAGATCAAAAACAAAAAGGCTATAAATTGTAAATAATATCAATTTGGCAAAAAAAGATTTAAATTTTTATTTAAAAAGGTGTTTGTGTTGCAGAACAAAATAATACCAAATTTAATTTTCCCTAAAATTAGGTAACCATGTTCTTTAATTGAGATAAGCCTTCCTACCTGATCAACTGTAGGAGATTTACAATCCTCAGAACCTTGCATTAGATTTTCACCTGTGTTCTTTTTAGAACGGGGTGATCTCGGTGCTCTCTGATAGGGATCCATGGACCCTGACAGATTAGTAAAAATATTAATTTTTAGTTCTGAAAATCAGTCAGATATTCTAGAAAAGATTAATATTAAAAAAGTATTATACATATAAAAAAACAAACCTAAACATTAACGTGTAAAAAATATCCTTCAGCTTACCATACAAGTCTGGCGTTCCTAAGTTGAGCAAGCAGGTTCTCTGTAAATAATCTACAATAGCCAGACCAGATTCATTTCCAAAAGCCAAACTGAGGAGAAAAAAAATCAATTATAAAATTTTGTTTCACAATAATTGTTAGTCACTAAAATTTAAAATGCCATTTTAATCACCAAACAAAAAACAAACTAAACAGCTGATTTCTTACAGGCCGTATGAAGAGTTTACAGACATGACTGTTATGTTTCCAGCTGGCTCCCCATCTACCCAACACAAAATACAGACTAGATCAGGTAGAAAACCTGGGCCCCAACGCCGACTCCCACTCTTTGCTTTAACAGAGGTGATAGCTTCTGCCTGCAACACAATCACATGAAAGAAATCAATGACTACTCAGCAAATACCAACTTTATACAAAGTTAATGTGAAGAAGTAAAAAACAATTTAACAGGTACCTTTGTGTTGTCTGAGGTTGTAGAAGAATAGGATCCCATACTGCTGCTATGCTGTCCCATCACAGTAAGGCTTGGCTTGGAGAAATCAAATTCAGGAGAGTCTGGCTCATCAAATATCTCATACACTATTGAAAACTCCAAGGCCTGTCCAACAATAATTTACCCAATTAAAAATTTTCAAATCACATATTTTACATTAAGTGGATAATTGTTTCAACCTTTCTTCCTTTGACACCTTCTGTTCCTAAGATTCTATTATTTTCTTTTTAATAAAAGAAAACTGCAGAAAATTACTTTTCAAATACAGTATCTATCAAAACTAATATTTTACTAGAGTTTTTTTCCCCCATAGTGGTAGAGTAGAAATTCAACAGAACAATGTATTAAAATACTTAGTCTTATTTGAACACAAATTTATTTTGGCTCTATAGAAGTAGTGCATTCTAATGGTATTTTTAAGAATTCATATTTGAGGGAGAAAATAAAAAAAGAACTTACAACTGTCTCTACAGAAGTCTCCTGTTTAGAAAACTTGAAGAGTATACAGTGTGTTGGTCCTGCCACACACATGATGCGGCTTTCCAAACACAGGAAGATATTTTGTATGGCAAATGGATCATCATCCTTGTCCTCTGACGGCCTTTTGGGTTTCTCAAACACTTTGGCAGTTTTTAATTTATAAAGGAACTGTAAAGTTACTGAAATATAAAATTTTAGTTGTAGTAGACATTACGTTTCCCTTTGACAAAATTGTCAAGCATTAAATAATTGTACTAAGTTGATAGAATATTTACCTGAGGATGCATCCCAAAATTTTAATGAGCCATCTGCATGACTGGAAAATAAATTAAAATCAAGTTATTTTAAAATTTATGTGAATAAATCCCTTTCCATGCAAGTCATTAGTTTTAAATTTAAAAAGTCAAAACAAAATACAAGATTAGTTTTAAATTATGTAAAAATAAAGTACAAGGCAAGCTTTAAACAGAAGTAAAAATAAAATATAATTTTTAATAAAAGAAATCAATCAGCAATCTGCCACTGACCCAGTAATTATGATCTCAGGATAGCTTGTTCCACTAGCCCCCCATGACCCGCCTTTGATTGGCCAATGCTAGAAAGAAAAATGAAATTAGTTATTTAATTGATATTTTTTCAATATATGCAGTAAAACAGCTATTTAAACCTGGTCTCAAAAAAATTCATAAAAAACGTTTTAATAACAAGCTTTTATGTAATGATGCACTAAAAAGTAGAAAATAAATTATAGACTACTATTTAAATAACTATAAAGAAAAGCGTGGGTCACTTTAGTATCTATTGGATACCTTTACTAATGTTAAGGAAGACACCCACGCTTTTCTTTATAGTTATTTAAATAGTAGTCTATAATTTATTTTCTACTTTTTAGTGCATCATTACATAAAAGCTTGTTATTAAAACGTTTTTTATGAATTTTTTTTCAGTACTTTACATGTTTTATCTACAATAGAGTTACATGACTAAAAACCATTGCGCGCCTACTGAATATCACGTTCAGTAGGCGCGCAATGGTTTTTGAACGCAGCCATTACGTGGTCGTGATGGCGCAGCTATTGATGACGCGTGTGGTGTGGTTGGCTAGACATGCCTACTAATTCGGTCCAAATTTTAATTAATTCATAAAAAATCAATTAGGCATCCAATTAAGTCAAATTTAGTTTCAGATTGCATTGTCTTCATGTCTTGACCCACGTGCCAACTGTGAATCGTGTCGGTCAAGTAGAACTGTCCGAATTTTCACTCCTGCGTTTCCGTCTAGACAGACAGACTGTCGACTGACGAGGAAGTGAGTTAAATAAAAGCTTGTAAAAAGGTTTAAACCGTGCTTAACATAAAAACAACAACAAAGCATTAGAGTAATTACCTTCTCACTAAAACCAGACTTTTTCTGATTTTTGCCTGTAGAGTAGAGGGCGGGAATGATGTCCATTGGACAATTAGCATAATACTGGCAGGCAGTAACAGGTGACTCATGGAGATCCATTGGATAAGGATTCTCAAAACATGGATAACTGGGAACAGAAAAAAAAATTTAAATCTCAAACAGCACTAAAATAGGAGTGAATTTTTCTTCTTCGATTTTTCAAGACTTAATACTAAACATAATAAATGTATGGAGGATGTAAAAATAATGTTTACAAATTTTAAAATATTATAAATACATGGACAGAATATTATGACAAAAATAATAAGTGTAACAGTTGTTGCTATCCACCTTATGCTACACAAGTACTTTTAAAGCAAATGATTACACAATTGCTTACCCTGGCGTAGTTAGATCAATAACAACCAGGTCATTTAACAGCAGTACAACAATGGCATAGGGATCTTGAAAATCTAGGAAATATATGTTGTATAATGTCACGCATTTAAAATGGCAAGTTATTTCTTTTAAAACCCAACAATAACTATTTAAACACTAGATATCTGAATTTTATTTATCAAAACAGACAATATGTTTATACTACAGTAGAACCTACAATAGCCAGAATTTTTGTTAAGCAGTTTAACTGTTCAATGTCTAAAATCAGCATGGATCTAAGTTTCAATGCTTACCATTGACCCAGGGGGTATCACAAAGACTAACAAAGTCTACCACATTATGCTCCATTTCTAAGACAGTTGTGCTCTTCCCTGCCATTACAGTTATGGTGGGAGTTCTCCCAGCTCGATCATAGGACATACCACCAGAAAATATAACAATGGACTCTCTGTAAAGAACATGGACACAGTTCTCAACCCTATGTCAAATCAGTATTTATAAAATTTATAAAAGGATTAATATCACACACAAATTGTATTGAATGTTACTGGAAGAGAATTATACAAGAACATACCCTGTTTTTGTACATCTCCATTCAACTTTTGTAATAGGTTTGCAGAGATCTGGCTTCCCATCTGGTCCAATTTTGGCTAAAATGTATTGATTGATAGTGAGTGATTAATTGGTCCAAAAAAACCATCATGAAATTATTTTTTTTCAAAATAAATTACAACACTATCTTTGAAATACATTTCAAATGCAAATGACCTCATTATTGGTTATTATAAAAATGCAAACTGGACAATATCACAGTTCGGGTTTACAGTAGCAACACTAGCAAGAATGACACCCAATAGACACTGCAAACATTTGATTAAGAAATGTATTTGTTTATACATGTGCTATCCAAAATATAATGAAGTAATCTATGAAATTACATATTCAATAAAACACTGCAAAACCTTTAACACTTGAGATCCTCTTTATAAATTTGACTTTAAAATAAAATAAACACACAAAAAAAAGTTAAAGAATCCTTCCTTTGCTTATCTTACCATGAGGTGAGGTAATAGAAACAGGTCTTTGAGGTGTTTTAACATTCCATGTGGATAGACTGCCATCTGTGTGGCTGCACATGAACTGTTTGCCTTCATTATGCCATGATATAGATCGCAAGGCCTGAATGAAACAAAACAAATTTTAGGATATATTTTTGTAGTGTAAACTAAAATGAAAGATACCATTGTTATATGCACACTTGTCAAATGAATAGTACAAAGCAACCCTTACACATACCATAGAAACCCACAAACGTTAGCGTGAGTGGACCTAAACTATATTTCAGGATAGCTATTAGAATCTAAATAGAAACAATTATCTAGGCCATGTTTAATATTTGTGTGCAGATAGTGGGTGTGACAAAAATAAAACTGTTGAAAGTTGAGATGCATCAATGTTCTACAAACCTCCTGAGAATTATATCTGTATTCAGCAGATTTTGTACGCAAGTCCCAGAAGACAATGGCACCAGATTCAAATCCTATCAGGAGCTGGTAAAGAAATTAAATTCAAACAAATCATTGACACTGAAATCATTGTCTGGTCAACATATCTAACATAAATGGAGGAGAACATCATTTTGATGATGAAATTCATCCCAAAAAAAATAGTGCATTATTGTGGTGGGATTTAAAAATGCAATTTTTTTAAATTTAAAAAAAAAAAGGTTTTCAGACAATTTTTTAATAAACTTTAAAAAAAAAAATTACTTAAATACTTGAGCATCTCAAGCAGCTGTTCAGTGGGTTTTATACAATGCTCAAGTAACTCTTGATAAACAAAAAAATTTCATTACACCCCCTTTCTTATGAAATAAATCTGTCATGAAGTAATTGACACAAGCCACTTGATAAATAAAACAAGTTCAAGGCTTTGACATAAATAAACTTAATTTCAATATAAATGCAGGATATTTCCTGCAACAGACAGGGCTGATTTTTTGCTCCAGAAATATTTGAGCTTGAGAGATCTTAGCCTGACAGAATGACAATTTACAACTCTGACAGTCACACATAACATGGGAGTATAAATAACGGTGTATGCATAGGAGTATAAATAACAGTGTGAATACACAACCTGTATTTTCCCAGGGGTATCTAGTTACAAGGGTAATATTCAAGCTGACCTTGTGTAATACACTAGAGAGAATTCAGGTCTTTTGTAGACCAAAGGTGAATCAAACTGACAATATGTTAGTAGCTAGGTAGAGAATTCAGGTCTTTTGTAGACCAAAGGTGAATCAAACTGACAATATGTTAGTAGCTAGGTAGAGAATTCAGGTCTTTTGTAGACCAAAGGTGAATCAAACTGACAATATGTTAGTAGCTAGGTAGAGAATTCAGGTCTTTTGTAGACCAAAGGTGAATCAAACTGACCATATGTTAGTAGCTAGGTAGAGAATTCAGGTCTTTTGTAGACCAAAGGTGAATCAAACTGACAATATGTTAGTAGCTAGGTAGAGAATTCAGGTCTTTTGTAGACCAAAGGTGAATCAAACTGACAATATGTTAGTAGCTAGGTAGAGAATTCAGGTCTTTTGTAGACCAAAGGTGAATCAAACTGACAATATGTTAGTAGCTAGGTAGAGAATTCAGGTCTTTTGTAGACCAAAGGTGAATCAAACTGACAATATGTTAGTAGCTAGGTAGAGAATTCAGGTCTTTTGTAGACCAAAGGTGAATCAAACTGACCATATGTTAGTAGCTAGGTAGAGAATACAGGTCACTTGTAGACCAGGAATAGAATAAAAACTTCAATATTAAATCTCACAATTACTCTGTTGATTCAGGAAAATTCTATGTATGATATCCCCAAAAGATAATGTACCTTATTAGAGTCAACTGGATTATCACTCAAATGTACAACTGGCCCTGGATGTGTTTTTCTTGATCTGCGTGGAAGATGTTAAACAATCAGAACAACAATGCATTAACTAGCCTAAGTAATGGTGTAACTCAGTATTGACAAAAACATGTCTAGTCAACCTTTTTAATTAAGGTTAAAGTTAGAAAATATGCCTTGTCAACAAAAATAGTTCAGCCGTATTTTCATTAACCTTTGGTGAAATATGCAATGGTGAATGGCCAGCATTAAAAAAAATAGGGGGTAATATTAACGCTTTTGATAATTTATCTATGGGAGAAGATGGTTGGATGACATTAGGGACTGGACCAAACTGTCCTTAGCAGACTAAGTAAAAGTAGCATGAAGAATGGCAGGGCATTGTGAGAGTTACCAGTAGTGACCCTATGGGACAGAGTAGATCAGATTTATAGGAGTCAGATTTTAGGTCTTGCCCATTCTATAGCTGTATGGGCCTTAAATAAGTCAACTATATTATCAGGTTTAATTATCTGAAAGCTTGCAATGACATTTAAGTGTTAAGAAAAATTAAGAAACATGTTTGATCAAGATCTGAAAGATACCAAACTCAGTGTAAAGTTGTACAAGTATAAAAGGAACACTTACAGTTCAATGGCCTTGTTCCAGTTGATTATATAACCCGAGCATGTGAAAGATTCAATGTTGACCACATGGACATTTCCCCTCTCTGTACCCACATACAACCACTTACTTTGGAATGGGAGGTGACATTTTGAAATTCTGAAAGTTTTTTTTTTTTTTTTTACTTTAACATGTTTACTTTTTTTCTCACCATCAAAGGTCAAAATGGCAAAAAAGGAATCACATAGTATAAAATAATATCTCATCTTTAGCTACATATAGGAAAAGAATAACATGTTTTTATCAAAAAATGCTGAATAACTAATAGCTGGAAGATGTTAGTTGCTAAGTTACTGTCCTATTGTTTACAAGGAAAACATACTTCTCTCTTTGAAACTTGAGAGAATGGACTATACTGGGCTGTTTCTGTCTGAAATTCCACAGGTGAAGGTGGTCATCACTAGTAACAGTCACCAGAGCACCCTGGGTGAGAAATATTACAAGCTTTACATAGAATGTTTCATCACACAACTTAAAATAGTAAAGATTTCCTTAACATACTATAGCTTTATAGAGATTAATGGTTCTTCACATACATGCATAGAAGAACTTTTGTTAAAATACAACTTTACATATAGGCTAACTCTTTTATGTATTACATGTAAAACCATCTTTGGCATAGAAACAGCTTAATTTAAACTATATTTTGATGATAAGTTAATTAAAGTAAAAATTTGATCAACTAAATTGGCTAAAATAGTAGGTCAGTACTCACCTCATTGACTAGAAATAATATCTGTGTAATAGAAACCTCTGAATCATGGTTACAATGGCAGTCAACACCTGGCTGACCAATACTGGTGTATGTCAAGGTTATTTGGTATGTAAATATTTACATTATAAAGTAAACAATTACTTTCTTTAGATGAAAATGAATCCTATAAGCCTAATACAAATGTAATAGATATGGTTCAGATCTACAAATGTCATTTTTGGAATAAAGAAGCCACAAAAATAAGAGAAAGTGGGATAGTGAAAACATGTGTACATTTTTCTAATACTTGTATAAGTCTTATAAATTGATGTGGATAGTAAAGAAACTTGGAGTTTTTTTGTTCAGTGTAATACATGGTTCAATTGTAAATAATGAAGATAGAATGAGCATTGTCTACACTTTGTACAGGAATATAAAACCTGAAGTTAGAGATAGAAATCAAACATAAAATAATCAAATGAACCCATAAAAGAAAACAATTTAACACTATCAGAATCACTCAAATTGATATTTAACCAAAACAGTCACCCAATTCAAATTATCACCTCAGACCGAATCAGAGTTCTAACTAGTTTCTGTGTCTTGGGATAAATGGGAATGTAGATACTTCAGACAGCAGAACTAATTTATTTGTTAATTTTTTTTCAATTTTTCCCCCACTCTAGACATGTGTAGTATACATGTCACAAGTGTTTACGCTGTGTAACAGTTGCCCAAAATCTCAAGATATCCCTCAAAATCTCTACATATCACCCCAGACTGTACTTTTTAAAAAAGCTAAACTAACACTGAAAAAAATTGGGACATTTAACAATTTACTTAAGTAGTGTGTTGTATTGGCTGGAGCATATTAGGTAGCCATCAATAATGTGTACATGTATTGTGTGTAGCTCCAGTTACAACCTATAGTGAGGGCAGCAGGGTACTCTTAGTACAAACAATAAAGCAATATCCTAGCCATACATGATTAATGAAATTTGGGAGCTAACATTACTACAAAAAAGACAGTTTCACATTTGATACATAACACACACATCCATACTTCAAACTTTTTTTAATAAAAACATTTTATTATGGTGAAATTTTTGCTTTGAATGCAGAAAAAAAATACTGACTATTGACTAATAATAAAAAGGATTACTTTGATATTGGCTATAAAAGGTATTTAATGGTGAGTAAGGAAATAAAGTCACATCCCAGTTAGCAGATGGGTGGTGAGATGTAGGGACAGAAATAACAGTAGACAAATCCATGGTCCATAAGACAAGGGAACTACATGGAGTAGACAAATCCATGGTCCAGAAGACAAGGGAACTACAGGGAGTAGACAAATCCATGGTCCAGAAGACAAGGGAATTACAGGGAGTAGACAAATCCATGGTCCTGAAGGGAACTACAGAGAGGAGACAAATCCATGGTCCAGAAGACAAGGGAACTACAGGGAGTAGACAAATCCATGGTCCAGAAGACAAGGGAACTACAGGGAGTAGACAAATCCATGGTCCAGAAGACAAGGGAACTACAGGGAGTAGACAAATCCATGATCCAGAAGACAAGGGAACTACATAGAGTAGACAAATCCATGGTCCAGAAGACAAGGGAACTACAGGGAGTAGACAAATCCATGGTCCAGAAGACAAGGGAACTACATAGAGTAGACAAATCCATGGTCCAGAAGACAAGGGAACTACAGAGAGTAGACAAATCCATGGTCCAGAAGACAAGGGAACTACAGAGAGTAGACAAATCCATGGTCCAGAAGACAAGGGAACTACAGGGAGTAGACAAATCCATGGTCCAGAAGACAAGGCTGTGAACTAGAGGGCAACACACAGAAAATCGATTGACTGCATGCCTGCCTGCTGACACACTCCCTCCGCCTAGCCTCTCTGACTATTGATCAATTCCGTAAGCCAACTCTATATATTCTTTCAACACATCCATCCCCACCGGTTTCGTTTCCTCGGACCACATCTATACCCTGCCACACAGAAATTATTTTCTTAAATTACTGGATGTGAGGAGAGATGTAAAGGGGAGGGGGAGAAAAAGCAGGAAACCCCCGCGCCATCGAGAGAAATCGCGATCTGACACAAGCCATGGTCTTACGCTCAGAAAAAAAAAAATTCCTGCTAGGGGCCGTACACAGCACAAGAGGCTAAACAGCGTTGTAACGATTACTACTCGTGGACGTTTTACAACTTTCACTTCACTTAACGAGCATATTGACGTGACGTTACAAACGCGCTCAACCACTCGGTTCGTGACGTTTACGGCCAACCCCCCCCCCCCCCCCCCGAATCTTGAAATACATTGATGTAGTGATTTCTAGTGCTGCCGGCAATGCCTAAGCCGCAAACGTAAATATAGCAAGTTTTAACCAAGACAAATGGTAGGCTTTTTTGTGTGAATGTTTTTTATGCCATCGCCAGATATGTTCAATACATTGACGGACGTAAACCTTTAATCACCCCCCCCCCCCCATGATAATAAAAACATACATGGAAAATGGGAATATGCACACACATTCTCAAATAACCCATATATCTTTTTTACGTTAGACGCTTAGTCAAGAAACATTTTTATCTACAATGCTTCCCAATATACGCATGGCATGACGGTTTCTTCTTTTTAAATTAAAAAAAAAACTGACAAAAAAATCTGGCGAATATGTTCACATGGCACTCAGCTGCTTCAAATAACGAACGCCTCGTCCAATTCAAACAGAACTCAGCCCTCGTGCCAGCATTTTTTCTCTCTCTCTCGTCTCTCCGATACTTTCATTATCATCACGGCAACCAAGTCGCAGTCATAAACAGCACAACACGGTCAACCGAAAGCCAGCCTTCAACCATTTGTCACGATTTATACAACTGCATTAAACAGTCTAACATGCCGGTGTGTTGTCTGTGTTTATACCAGATCCCAGAGCTCATTATCAAGTGCGGGACACGTCGTTTTTTTTTTTGTTTAGCAAAGATTTTTTTTTTAATGTGTGACGTCAAGCCGGTTCTGACAGGATTGTAAATGCTGCGTCCTCTGCCAGTTCAGCTAAACAAAAAAACTAAGGCGGTCGATGGTGGTACAATCCTCAATGTACAAAGTGTCCATGTCAACTATACAGTAGGTTGGGTAACAACCTAAGGCAGTTGATGATAGTACAATTATCAATGTGTAAAAAAAATGTCCATGTCATTCTACAGCAGGGTAACATCCTAATGCGGTCGATGGTAGTGCTATTCTCAATGTGTACATAAACAACCTACAGTAATGTAACATACTAGTGCAGTCGATGGTAGAACAATTCTCACTGTAAATAAACAAAATGTCCATGTCACAAAACAGTAAGGTAGTGTCATAAGGCAGTCGATGGTCGTACAACTCTCAAAGTGAGCATAAGATGTCCATGCCATTTAATGGTTAAGTAACATCCTAAGGATATCGATCATAGTCACCTACACCATCTCGAATGCTAAAGTAAAGACTAGCCCACAAGCTACCACTAAACACCTATACACAAAGGTAAAAACTAATATAGCACAGACAAAGGGCGAATCTCATAGTTAACGCTTCATTATCCCGATGCATATTCATAGGTACATGCGTATTATCAAGGAAACAAACGCACCTAAGGTTCACCAAAACAAGGTTGATGGTTATTTATATTCTCAACCACAAACATTCTCAACTTACATTATTATAGGGTACGAACTATTAATGTTGGAGGTGGGGTAAGGTGTATGAAGAAGTGTTTTTGTGTCTAAATGTATAACTTTGTAACATTAAAGAATATATTCGACTCCGGAAAGATCGGTGTTTTAAATTAGAAAAATATTTTCGCTATATTTGTACCTGCCACCATAATTTACATTTAGACATAAACTTGGACCAGCTTCTAATATAATTTACTGGAACTATTTTTCGCTATGCACCGTGCGACCATCAAACTTGGACTAGCTTTAAATTGAATGTTCAGTTCAATCACGTGTCGCCTGATCGTTTCATCAATTATTCTGTTTGTAAAGTTGTCAATCGAAATGCATTAGGTTTTATTATCGTCAAATTGCTTCTCCACGCTTGAGAGAAGTCACGCCAAATCATCCAAAACGTTTATTAGTTCAATAATAAAAAAGATATTATTTTTAAGCCAATATGGCGCAGGCAGCATTTAAACGACGCAAAATAATTTTGTGAGCGGATTTCCCAAGCCTTAGCGGTTAAGGCTTAGCCAGTTGTTCTGGACTTGCAACAAATAAAAAATTATGTGATAATAATAATCATTAAAAAAGTTTTAAAAAACACACGTTTTCTGATTGAACTAAAAAGTAGAAAATAAATGCTATACATCACAATATACTCTACTATAAGCGATGAAAAACGTGGGGCGCCGAAGTAAAAGTTATATTACTATTGATTAGATAATACTATTGACTTTTATTAGGGAGCTTGTAGAGAGTCAACAGTATTAGAAACTGTAAGAAAATCACGGCGCCCCACGTTTTTCATCGCTTATAGTAGAGTGATCGCTTGCATTATTGTGATGTATAGCATTTATTTTCTACTTTTTAGTTCAATCAGAAAACGTGGGTTTTTAAAAACTTTTTTAATGATTATTATTTTCTACTTTTTAGTCTTTGTCTGTTTGTTTGCATTGAAATCTTGCAATCGATTTTATCTTTTCACTTTTTTTTGGGTAAACGAAGACAACTCGTAAAAAGACAACTCGTAAAAAACGAGAGACCCTTTCTTCTTCGGTCTCAATCGCAAGTGAATGATTGTCAGAGGTTAGTTGATAGCGGTTAGGACGAGGGCTGGTTACTGACTAGAACACATAGATTTGAACCCGTGTCGAGTGGGATAGCAATCGTGTGCCCAACCACTCGACCATATCGTCTCCCCCAAACTGGCCACCAGTGGTAATAATTACCTCCTGTAAGTTTGAAGTCGGTTCAAACTAAATTATCTGCCCCTAAGCCTGTCGCGACGTGGGATCGTTCGCGTCACTGCGCGCGGCAAGAGAGAGGCGAGCTACGCGTCGCTCGTTTTTTTTCTAGTGGCTCGCAGAGGAGAATTATATATATA